AAATGCTCCTACGGCCCATTCAGGACCAGGAGTTCGAAGGCTGGCCCACCGATGGGTTCACAGCCGCTGCGGGGCACCCTTAGAGCGAGGGGTGGAAAGGGATGGGCCCACTACCGCCACTACCTAGGTGCATGAGCGCCGCGGGCATCCTAGCCCATGTTCGAATCTTGGTCGGTTCCTAGTCCATGGTTTTTCCTCGAAGAAAGGCAACGAGCCCTTGGGAGCGGCCGAATGGACCCAAGAACTATATGGATTGGTCTCCAAGAGTCTGGAGTCGGTCACCAGCTAACCCATGCTAGACCTCCGCGAACAGGAAGCTGAGGCCCCACTTGGACTAGCCCCGTTATCAGCTCACCGAGCACTATGTTTCATCCATCGAGGAAAAACGTGGCATGGCTCATCCCCACCGTTTTATCGAAAAAACGCTTGAGGGATGACGATCAAAAAGATGAGCCGACCCTCGACCGACCCTTGCTATGTGTGGGGGCTCGAGGGAAGTTGGACTCATAAGGAGACCGAACACGTGGTCGCAGTACGATGGCGGACCGATCGGATCCTAGGGACCGGAATCAAGAAAAATCTTTCTGACCTCCCGAATCCTACGGTTACGTGCCTCCAAGAAGACCGATCGTGACAAAAGGGAATCACCATCCTACCAGGACACGCCATGGGCTACAAAAATAAGGCCAAGGCGCTCAGAGTCCTCCCGTCCGAAAAAGCCTCCAAAGGAGTATTCTACTCCTCTGTAGGCTCAGGGGTTACTATCGGGTAACGATATTAGGGATACCCAAAGCAAAGAAGTTAGCATCCATGCTAACTTCCTTAGATGGCTCAAGACGTATTAAAAGGTCTCGTCGACCCCTTGGGTGCGGGCTCCGTCTCGCCCGACCCCAAGGATGCGGGTTCTGTCTCACCCAAGGCCACGGGCTCTGTCTCGCCCAACCCCTTGTGTGCGGGCTCCATCTCGCCCAACCCCAAGGACATGGGTTCTATCTCATCCAAGGTCATGGGCTCTGTCTCACCCAACCTTAAGGACGCGGGCTCCGTCTCGCCCGACCCCAAGGAAGCAGGTTCCGTCTCACCCAAGGTTGCGGGCTCCATCTCGTCCTAACCACAAGGACGCGGGTTCCATCTCGCCCAAGGTCGTGGGCTCTGTCTCGCCCGACCTCGAGGTCGCAGGCTCTGTCTTGCCCGACCCCTTGGGTACAGGCTCCGTCTCGCTCGACCCCAAGGATGCGAGTTCCGTCTCGCCCAAGGCCACGGGCTCCGTCTTGCCCGACCCCTTAGGTGCGGGCTCCATATCGCCAAACCCTAAGGACGTGGTTCCGTCTCACCCGACCCCAAGGATCCGGGTTCGTCTCGCCCAAGGTCGAGGGCTCCATCTCAGCCCGACCTTAAGGCCACGAGCTCCATCTCGCCCGACCCCAAGGACGCGGGTTCCGTCTCGTCCAAGGTCACGGGCTCCGTCTCGCCCAACCCCAAGGACGTGGGTTCCGTCTCACCTAAGGTCGTGGGCTCCATCTCACCCAAGGTTATGGGCTCTGCCTCGTCCGACCTCGAGGACGCAAGTTCCGTCTCATTCGACGGGGACCCATACCACCGCCAACCACTCTAGGTCCAAGCGTATGGGCCTGGGTCAAAACTCTGATGCCAGAGAAGAGGCTAGCACCAACAAGCCTAGATGTAACTCGTGACCATGATGGGCCATACCTAGGGATTCACATCAATAATAGTGTCGGGCATGTTAGTGTTGTTTCGCTTAATCCTCAGACGCAGACGGCCGACAAAGCCACCATGACGTCACCGGGACGAACGCCATGATCGGAGATGACGGATGCGCTGGCGCCATGATTAACAGGGCGCGACATGGAGCCGATCGGCGAGATCTACGAGGATCGGCGAGACCCGCAATGAAGGAGAAGAAGGACCCAACAACCCTAGAAGCCTTCTTCTCTGTCTCGTTCTTCTTCTTTTCCTCCTCTGTAACCTACGCTTTCCCTTTACCTATAAAAGGGGAAGTAGGGCGGCCCATGAAAGAGAGATATGAACACAAGAGCACGACACGAGCACATGGCTAAGCGGCAAGCGAGCTCTCAGCACCCGTTCACTCCTTCCACCAGAGACATGGGATCCTCTCTCTCTCTCGCCTGTTTGTAACCCCTACTACAAACCAAGTGCCGGTAATACGAGCAGCAGCGAACTGGACGTAGGGATGTTCCGTCCGAACCAGTATAAACCCTTGTGTCCTCCGAGCACACCATTCAAGCCAGACGCATAAATATAAATTTACTCGTCGGTGGTCCGAAAACACCGACAGTTATGCAGCCTGTTCGGTTGGCTGGTTCGTATCGTTGCTGGTTCGTGAAGAAGTACTGCTGGCTAGTTCGTGTGAGAGAAAAATATTGTTCCGACTGGAAATTTACGATCGTTTACGATAAGCCACAGCCAAACGAATAGGTTGATGGTCGCCGGATGAATGTGGCGGCGGACTTGTTCCTAGCGCCCGAAAAAAAATTGTCGCAATGCATCCCCATCCACCCCTACCCGACGAGCCTGCGCGCACCCCGCCCGATGATCGATGCATAGCCCCGCGCCAGGAGCGACGACGGGGACGATGGGGAGTTCTTGAGGTGGATCCAGGAGCACGTGGCGGGGCAGCACCTGGCGTGGGCCTTGTTCCGCTGGGCGCCGCCGCCACTACGGGCAGGCCACGCAACTGGCCTCATGCCGCCAACGATCGGACACCTCGCCTGCCACCGACACCGACGCGGAGTCGGCTCATAGCAAGGCCGCGGCGGCGCGGGCAGACCTCGCGCGGGGAGCAGCGACCGATGGACCTCGCGTTGGGCAACAAGCTAGGAGTTCGCATGCGGGGGTTGTGACAGCGGCGCGTGGTGCATGGCAAGCTTTGGTGGCTGGTGACCTTGGTGGACCTTGGACCTTGACGAGGGGACCTCGCATGGACAACGGCGTGGGCCTCCCATGAGGGGGCGGAGCAATGGGCGCGCCCCATGGGGTGGGCAAGGGTGGGCATTCGGTTTCTCGGTTCGGTTTTGGTTCGGTTCCTCGGGTATCGATAAAATTCGGTTCATAGAAAATGGAAATCGATCGGTTCCAAAAAATTTAGGAACCGAGCATTTCAGTTCTCAGTTATTTCGATTCGGTTCTGGTTCTAACCGAACTTTTTATTCACAAGTTGATACAACAACAAAAATATAGGTTTTAAAGCAAATTTATGTAACACTACCTCTATTTTAGATAATAAAATTGATAAGAGAACAATAGCAATATAATAACATAAATATATAGATATTCAATACGAGACGTCACAAATAAATTGAACATAATCTTATAAAATACAAGTAAGTGAATTACAATTCATGTATTTCGGTTCTTTCGGTTAATTCGGTTATATGAGAGTAGGAACCGAAATTTGTTCAGTTCTTTCGGTTTCTCGTAAGCTAAAACTGAATAAAGAACAGATTTTTTAGGTTCTAATTATTTCAGTTTTCAGTTATCGGTTAAAAATGCCCAGGCTTAAGAATACCAGAGCTGCAGGCAGGCTCAGGCCTGGCCCTGGGGCGGGGTGAGAGGGACAGACGTCCCAGCCCAGGGAGCCGATGGGCCCCTCCGCAGGTATGCAGTCACTAGTACGCAGTAGTATTCTGTCAGCCCAGTAAAAAACATACGCAGACGACGCAGCAGCGACTCCGCGGACGACGCGAGGCTCTTCAACTGCGGCCTACGGGCACGCTCGGCGTCGAGAGCCAGGCAGAAGGAGACAAGCGATCAGATTAGATAACTCCTCTCTTACATGTGGCTCCCACCCTGTTCTCTCGTTTTTTTTATCTACTTTATTTTGTGTTTCCTCGTAGCTGCTTCCCGAAGCATCATTAGGAAGTGATAACCCAGTGATTCAGATTTCAGAGACCCGGATGGACATCATTTGGGAATTGGTATTTGCAAACTACGATTTAACTGAATATTCAAATATTCAATCTGCTAGGCACTTGGTTCACAAAGATAGTGTATAATTATTTAATTTTCGTGAATTTTCTCTTTGTATAATTGTTTAATTTTTGACTAATTGTTTCTCTAAATTTTTTGAGGTAGTTTAGTATGTATACGAATTATTTCATATGAATATTGCTTTTGCATCTAGTTAACTGCTTATTAGTAATATTTTGTATATGTGTATATTAGCAATGAGTAGTAATAGTAGTATTATTATGTTTATATAAAAAGGCCTAAAGATTTACAGCTACAAGCCGCACGCAGGGACAGCGGCGAGCGGCGGCAAGCCACAAGCAGGGACGAGCTCAATATCCCGGAGTCTACTCTTCTTGCTGCCGTTATGCATTCTATGCAATAACGTTGACAGATTATTTCGTGGAGCTTTACGTGATCGCGTGGCGTGATTGCTGGGGCAAGCGCGTGAATAGATAGATCATCAGCATGTCGCGTCATATCCAATTTGAACAACCATGCTTATCTGTCGTGTTTTTGCTCTGTTTTCTGCGAGTGCGTGAATGGCAGGTGTTCCAAATCATCACAAACATACATACAGCAAATCAGTGACCTATAATGACAAGGCAGCTAGTGCCTCACTTGCAAGACAGAAAAAAAGGAACAAAAATACGGGGTGCATCTTCGTACAACAAAGTCTGGGACCAAACCAACCCAAAATTTAATTATTTGGGTACGGTAAAAAATTACAAGCATCCATTATAGCATGAGTGAGAAAACACCTGCCGGATGAAGCTGCAAAAATCCGACTTCTGCCGGCTTTTCCACTCAAACTGCTGTACATACAATCAGAAAAGTCTTCCATGGCATCATCGATGAGAATCCAAGTCGAAGACTACATCCAAGCTTGACTGTCAAGATGCCGAACCAAAGAAAGCTGATACATATAATCTTGCAAGATTCATCTTCCTTTCAAGATAGCCTAACTGCCAAAAAGTTCTGAACCCAATGCATCAAAAAGAAAAGGGAAATATTTACATGAGAGGAAGGTACGCCCCGCCATGGCCCTTCCTTAGGATCAGTGGGCCAGCATTGTCCGGGACTTTATCCAAGACTCTATTGCAAATGTCAAGGACATCAATGAAGCCTGTCGCCAGAGTTGCCAACTGCAGCCTCAGCCTCATGTCCCTTGTTCTACGCAGCAGGCTCCTGAATGATCTGCCAAGATGTTTCACCCACTCTGCAGGCAAGCCTCCAGGTGAAAGCCAGACAGAGAAGTGTGATTGCTCTCCCCTGGCTGCCACCTCCGCCCTGTAAAACCTTGCAAGCTCGAGAAGCATTGGTGGCTGCAGGGGCAGCACTGATACAAACTCAGCCACGAATTGCTCGATTAGATCCGGCTTTAGCATTTGATTCCAAAAGACTGGAGCAAATTCTATAGGTTGATTTATGTTGTATGCTTCAGCAACAATAAGAGCTTCCTGGAACCTAGATTGTTCCACAAAAATTCGCCGGGCATTGGTCTCCGAAAGACCAATCCACATAAGATCAGGTATTCGGATCTGAAGTGACAGAAGAGAAGCACGGGCACAAGCACGATGTGTTCTTTGGCCAGCATCAATAGTTGAAAGAACCTCAGCTGTCTCTACAAGATGATGCATAGCCTCAAGAAGCTCATCATTTCGCCGTTCCTTGTCATATCGAGATAACCAGCTGTTCATGTATTGCTCTGCACGCAATTCAAGGAGAGAAGCAGCCTCATGCTTCATGTCAAAGTGCTTGTATACCTGCATTAGACACAGACATGATAGAGTATAAGGAAACAGAAGGTTAACATTCGTAGTGATAATGTCTATACTGATGATCTTTTGTGATTAATAAATGATTAAATTATGTTTGGCAATGTATTAAACCTACTTTTGAACCTACTGTGGGTTGTGGGTTGTCAGATAGTAAATAGATTTGTAGTAGTAACAAGAGGTGGGGGATAGGGGAAGAGAGACCATAGAGAGAGCGTCATCATCATTCGGGTTAAACTGTTTCAGTGATGTAATAACAGCCATCCTAAATCCTCGAACCAATGCAGGCGTCCCTGTGGCTGTGTCAGTGGCAGAGTACTTTTGAAGCAGCAACTCCAATTGGCCATTCTCTACAAGGATCGAAAGAATGAAGCTCAAGGAATGGAAATTGCTCACTCCAGTGATCAAGCGAGCTAAACAAGAAAAATCCCCCTCTGAAACATATGACTCCACTCTATTTGCTGCAAATGTGACGAGAACATCCACTCCATCAAGACAAGAAGATGACATGTAGAAGTGGTGTGACAATATTAGGAGTTCAACCTGCAATGACATTTCAAGACAACTTAAGATGCGGGAAAAAATGTTGAAAAGCAAAACAAGGGATCAGAAGATACACCAACCTCGCAAGCATGTGGTACTTCATGTCCAGTCATTACCAAACGCATCAAAGCATGGCCAATTTCTGATTCCGATGGACATAGTTTTGCCCACTTTAAGAAGTCACTTGATCTCCACAATAGAGGTGCAGGACCCTCTTCCTTTTGGGAATCCAAATAGCCTCCACGATGCGCGGCTAAAAGCCCCTGGATTGAAAGCATATCATGTAACATAGCAGTAGCACTGCAATATCACATAAAAAGTGTACTGTTAAAACCTGAGCAATGAACAGACCTTTAGAAACGAATCTGCTATAATTCTGGCAATGCTAGATGCAGGCATGATGTGTGTCTCCACCAGAAATTTTGCTTCATCAAAAGAATCCTGGGCTTTCAGGGAATGCAACTGTAGAAGTTCAATTGGCTGTTTCTCAAATGCTTCAGAAAATGGGAGTCCCAGTAATTTAGCAGTTCGAACAATTGCTATTATTCTCCTAATAAGAGCTCGCCCACGGCCCTCACCACATTTCACAGCTAGTATCTCCATAACCTGAGATAAAACATCATTCTTATTTCTAGATCACAGTAACACTTATTAACAACATTTTAACATACATGGAGTGATGAGCATGGACAAAATCAATATCATTTGCATCAATGATTCAACTTGAAGCACTACCTCACACTATAGGTAATAAGGAACAAACATGTAATCAATATTCAATAACCAACCCCAGATCTAAGAATAACTGTGTCATGATCATGATCTACGAATCTCAAGCAGATAAGGCCTTGTTCGGTCAATCTGGAGGGGATGAGGGGGACTTTGACTTGTTTAACCAATAGTCAAAAAAAAAAAAGGCTTGTTTAACCAATAAGTTCACAGAAGTAATAAATGAAGTTGCTTTGCCTGATATCAGATTGGTTAGAACCAGTAGCTACCTAACACTTCACAAATAAGTTGCTTTGCCTGATATCAGATTGATCAGAACCAGTACCTACCTAGCACTTCACAGCCAAGTACATTTTCATGATACAGCCAGAACTACTCTGATGTACTAAGCAGCTTTGATGTAACAGAATATACAAATCGATCTGAGTTGCACCAACACTTCACAAAATGTAATGGATGCAAGTTTACACACCAACATGGATTGCAAACCTATGGTAGAAGAGAATTATTGTATCACAGCACAAAATGTTTTTTTTGTATGCTAACATCTTGACATAACATCAATAACTTTACAACTATAGTCACTAGCCAATAATTAACAGGAAAGGTGATGCGAGTGCTTTGGATAGAATTATTGTAAATTTGTTATCACACATAAAACATTGTAAGCCACATAAACTTGAGAAAATATTTCTTTACACATGTATCATTTAATCGCTGTTCTCACTTTCCGAGGATATGGTTACAATAATACAATGTTACTCCCTCCGTCCTAGTATACACGGCGTAACTACCTCTGGTCCAAAGACCAAGGAACGTATTTAATTCTCTCTCGTACTACTGCATGGATGCACGCGCGTCTAGATGGGAGAGAAAGAGAGCACGCTTTGTATTATAGGGCGTACCCAGTGCAGAGAGCTCCTGCTCTGTGCGGGGTCTGGGGAAGGGTGTCAGTGGCAAGCCTTACCCTCGCCTGTGCAATGCGAGGAGACCGCAACTTGAACCCGGGACCCTCCGTTCACAGGCGGTAAGACTCTACCGCTTACACCAGGCCCGCCCTTCACGCTTTGTATTATAGGACGAATAAAAAGTGGTTATGCCTTATATATTAGGACGGAGGGAGTATAATAGGGATAGTTCTATCTAGATAATTGTTGAACAACACCCCAGAATAACCCGCGCCGCCTGGAAGAAGTGGCAAAAGCATTCCATTATTTTGGTGTAACTACTCATGTGAAAATGGAAATTTCTAGGTGCTCACAGTTTCTAACAGAATCATGTCATAAAATGAACGAGATAAATAACCAGACCTGTGATGGGCTAATCATATCGCAGCTATTTGCTACTTCCAGTGACTGAAGTATCGAAAGAGCCTGTGTGTCAAAGCATGACAAACTGATCTCTCCACTACTGCTGCTATTGGCAATTCTTAAAGCAACATCAACAAGGACAAGTTCTTCAGGAATATATGATGGAGACAGCTTTTGTTGGAGTTGCTTAGCAGCAGTTATTTGCCCAAATTCCAGTAAGGAGAGCACAGCCTTCTCCATATCTACAGGCCTAACATTTTGTTCCCAGCCAGATAAAGATGCTTCCATTTTTGCAAATTCCTCTTCAGAAAGTAAATTTCTAGCTTGTTCTCCAATCTTTGAACTATGAAAAGTGTTAGAATTGTTATCCAGCTCGTTAATTCTACTTTCAATATTGTCATTGGCCCCTCGTCTAAGTGGTGAACTTGTTTTCACCCTTCGCTTTGCTCTCGTGTTATTTATTGTTGTTGAAGATGCTTCGCTGTTAGACTCAAAGAGTTGCACATGTTGGCTTGATAAACTGTCCCGTGTGCCATTCCTTTCTGTAACTTTCATGTGCGGCGAGCTCATATTACTGTCTATTTTTGTGATGACATCAGCAGTCTGTTCTATAATACTGCTACTGTTTCCAACAGCTATGTTTTGAGCAACAGCAGAAGTCGCAAATTCACCATCAGCCTTAGATTGACTCTCTGACTCAACAGCCAGGAGCCACACCCTAGTCTCAATTTCCCGCAAAAGATGAAGAGGATAAACCCTGCAAAAAGGGAAGTGCTAATCGGCAAGGAGATGATAAGATTGAGCACAATGTGAACATAAATAAGGAAAAATGAAGCTTACGGAGGGGATTTAGTCATAGTTCCACTTAGCCATTGTAGAGAGAGCAATAGTATTTCATGAAGCTCTTGTGCTGGTATCTCTTTTCCTACTGCTTCGGCATGCTTAAGGAAAAATAATCCAGCCTGCATGTATGGCGAATGAACATACAATTTAGTGATTTACAAGGATAAGGGAAAACAAATACTCCCTCCATTTCATAATACAAGGCGTTTAGGATCTGAGGCAGTTTTTTTTTAACCAGGCATACTACATTCTCCAAGCATTGCATCTATGAGTGTTCCTAATATGCCCTTATTAATGGGTTAGCTTTCAATGGAACTGAAAAGCTGCTAGCAATAAACGTGGTCTAACAAATAATGCAAGCAAGATTTTCTCCACACATGCAGCAGCTAGATGGCATTGATCATTTCATGTTTGTTTCTTTGGTAGAAAGAGGAAGGCTACTCTCATCTTAATGCCTCCTTAATAAATGTGCATAGAACTAGGACACCTTGCATTCAAATGGAGTACAGCGTTTCTGTGCATTTTACTTATCGAAAAGAATACCTTAAAAGGAGGGAAAGAATATCTCATAAAGAGAGATTGGCAGTGACCCCACAAGGCTGCACGTTCTTGTGGGATATCCCAAAGAAACTCCTTCCATTCAGCAACCATGGCTTCTGCCTACACATGTCCCGCAGATGGATGTCAGCATAACATAAGAAGGCCATACTGAGAATGTCAAAATGCAGTGATGAATGTTAATTATGTAATCCACAATTGGTTCATGGTGATTAAAAAGATGGTTTTGGGGGTATATGGACGATACATCACTCCGTAGCTGCACATGATTGACCTGACTCACTGTAAAATCCTTACTGTACACCAATGGCAATGTAGTATAGTGATCATGGTTGGTTGTGATTCTGTTTTTTCCCCATTATTGTGCATGCAAAACTCATGTCAAGACAAAAATGGAACATCTATTTTTTGTTAAATAAAATAGTTTATTAAATATCAGGTGGACAAGATTATATTGGTGCACATACACACAAACTAATCTCATCCAGAATCTGAACCAGGGAATCCCTTCATGATGTGTTCACTTTTTAACTGGACGAAATCCAATTGAGCCTAAATCTGCATAAGAATAAGATAGACGAGGGGATTTCCTGCTCACTCAGGCCATTCAGATTGCATCCATGCGATGAGATTTGATTTGTGCATATGTGCACCAATGTACTCATGTTTACATGATGCTTCCCCAAGTAGTTAGTGATATTTATAATTTCTATATATATCCAACAAACTTATGTTTCACAAATTGCCAGCAAGGGTGGCAACAGTGCTTCCAGTGGATGGCCATAGCACTGAGGAAGCAGAATTTGTGTGATGCGAATAGTGGGCGAGCGTGCAGCAGGGGAGGGCAGCGGCATGGTTGTCATTGTGATGGATCTTTATGTTCAATTTGGGAATGTTATTAGAAAATTTACACATTGGACTAATTTATGGCATGAAGAGCAATTATGATGTTCCATGGGCCCCTCCGTCCCAAAAAGAATGCAATTCTAGCTTTGCCCTAAATCAAACCATCTTAAATTTGACCAAACGTATACAAAAAATACTGATATTTATGATGCCAAAAAAGTATTGGAACATATTTTCATAGTATACCTATTTGGAGTCACAAATGTTGATACTATTTTCTGTAAACATAGTCAAATTTAAGATAGTTTGGCATAGGCCAAAACCTAGTAAGACAAGATGTGTCAGAAAAAGTGATCAGGTGTACAAGTTGAAACTCGTAATTTAATTTGTATAGATATAGATGGACTATACAGAAATTAAGGGGGAAGCCACATACCTGTGATTCAGTGACATGGTCAAGAGTAGACTCCCAAGCTATGCCACTTGACTCCAGTTGTCTTGCCCAAGTTCGAGCCTGCTCCCATTGACCATCCTTTTCTAATGATGTCAAAAGAGAAGCATCATCCATCAAATCATTCCAGTTGTAGATATCACCATCTTTACACAAAGAAGGTTCAGAAAGATTAATCTTCCAATATCTTCGGCTAAAGTAAGATGATGAAGTGCCACCATCGGCGAAGTCCACTGCTGAAAGAAGCTGCAGTAAACACCTCTTCTCATAAATTGATGGACAGGTTGAGAGGACAGCATCTGCAGCTTTTACAGCTGTAACGGCCACCCATTCTGCTATAACTGACACTTCTTTGGAAGAGTTTAGTTGAGTATGAGAGGCTTCATCTTTTATTCTTGTTGAAAACGATGCCAAATGTGCAGAAGCCTCGGACAGACGCATTTGAGAAAATGCCTTTCAAGGGTAACACAGAAGTGCTCAAATTAGTTGAATATTACTTGCAAATTAAATCATGATGCATTGACACTCAGTTCTCCTGCATGTTCGAGAGAAAAAAACCCACAAACTAAATAAACTATTACTACTAACCTGGAGAGAACGGATGAAGGAAAGAAGGGAGCAGGAAGGCAAAAACATTTCAAAAGCTCTAAGTAATGGTAGAAACAGTTGTTGTTCACAAAGCACTGCTACCATGTTTGATAAAGATGCAAGCCTTTCATCAATATCAACAGAGATTGGCTTTCCTCCTTCCTGATGATCATCAATATTTGTAGGATTGGAAGTTGCAGCAGAATCTGGCCCACATGTGATATCTAGTGAGAAACATATTGTGAGCTTTTCCTGTGAGGCTTCCAGGAACCGTCTTCGCTTTGGATTCTTCCTGTTGTAACGAAATTCAACATTTCTGCCAGAACTTGGCAATTTATTTGTGGCCTCAACAGCAGATCCAACATTCTTTGCTATTTTCGAAGAAACATCATCCACCTTGATCGAGGACATCTCCCTTAAGATAAGCAACATGCAACAAACACGAAGGCAACAAAATTACACAGTAGAACAACAATGAAGCATGTGAAATATTGTTAGCAAAAAAAAAAAAAAAAAAAAAATCATACTATGCTCAAGTTATTACCTTGCGGCTGTAATCTCAAGCCAAACACTTAAGCATGAGAGAGGAGTTACATCTGGAAAGCATGAAGCAATCATGGCAAGCAAAGACCACTGCATTTGTTTTGCTTTAATCAGGAGTGCCTCCCCAGGGTTTTTTTGCTTTTCACAGACTCCAAGAATGCAGAAAAGTTCCATGGGATTATTGCCATCAACAGCAGAGAAAGATGAATAACTGCTTCCTGAAGGTATATTACCAGATGCTTTCCTTCTAAGTGACATCATATTTTTCAGAACAGTCAGTATGTGAGTCCTCAATCTTGAATCCCTGATCTCTTTGGCTGCCTGAACAGTGAACAAAACACCAACAGCAATAAATTACTATGTGGTATTTGCAACTAAAGTTATGTGGTACAAAGATATAAAAAAAATTACCACTTCAATAACAACTTCAATAGGAAATCCAGCTATCTGAGCTTCTGTTAAAAAGCCAACCTGCCAAAAGGACAATTACAATCAGTGTGGGAACTTATCTAAATAACCAAAAAAAAAAAACCATAGCAACCAAGAGAAGAAAAAAATTAATACCCAATCATTGTCATTGGCCAGTAAAGCAAGATATTTTGTACTTAGTGGGAGATGGTGTGCCTGACAGAATTCAGTAACCAAATTCCAGTGTTGACTTGCTTCATTCTGTTGCGATCTGTAAAGAGACGCATTACCAACACCAGTTAAAAGCCAAAATCCACAAGTTTTATCTTCCTCCAATGATGGCAAACTTGCTTTTTCAAGGTGTTGCAGAATAGCAATAAGAGGATGTTGTGGCTGTTCCTTCTTGGGAGCCATTGAGGTTTGAGTCTGCTCCAAAACATGCAGATGATCAGATTGGACATAATCTTCAGCTAGTGCTCGAGCTAGAGCAGGAGCTATGCCAGCTCCATGGGACTGCACATGAAGCTCTGGGACCCTTTGTGAAGATAGATCAGCATGTTTATTTTCTTGAACTGACTTATAGTAGGAAGAGATGCGTCGTAGTGCAGCAATATCTAAACGAAGCATGTTGGCACAGTGACCACAAAGTTCCAACAAGAATATACAGGAAGCAACTAGAGTCAAGTCCTCAAAGTTTGTAATAGCTAGTGGAGCCACCTGTTTTGGAGAAGAGAAAAATGATAAGAAAGTGACACACATAAAGAGCCAAAGCATCAGCCAGCCACCTTCATATAAATTTATGACGCTTCAGACATTACGAATACTACTCAACAGGCAATATATTAGTAAATATTATGACAATATTGTATAAGGGAATAATTTTATGAATAAAATATTAGTATCACTTTTACTCAGTTCATCACATATTTACTAATATATGGATAATCGAAGTTCAAAACATTTGAAGAAACATTGCCCAATGCAACATAATTTATTTACAGAGTAAGTGGAGAAACGAGAAGTGTATTCCTAAATTAAAAAAATGTACAAAAATTTATGAGGTTAGTATGATTATGAGTGCTATGGTTCTCCATATTGTATCAAATTCAGAAGTGGAACTAAACCTTGTCATCATTTCCAGGAAAATAACTGGGATACTGCCACTTGGTAAGTCGCAAATGGACAATATATGCTATGGACAAATTTGTATGACTATCCGTAAAGCGGAACTCAGTATTTCAGTAATGCTTCAGATGCAATGCAGAAACTTGATGGATACTGACAGCATGAACAGTCATTGGGTATAAAATCAATTCAGGTGAATGGACATACCGATATAAGAATTGATCGTTCAGCTTGACTTAGAGGAGCAAGCATCAATTGTACATCTGCTTGAACATTAGACTGTGCAGATATCACTTGACGTGCACTAGCTGATTTCAACTGTGAAGCCCTCTTAGCAATAAGATGCCTGAAAGCAGCTAGGGCTCGACCACGGTGCAAATGGTGTTCCACTCTCACATCTTTCTCCTGAAGAGAGGAATAATGAAAATGCTAGTTTAGACAGGAAGGTCACGATACTACTATTTTTTTTTTTAAACAAAAGGTCACAATACTATAGCACAACACAAGTCAGGGAGAAGTCGGGCATAAACTTGTAGGATTTATTAGCTTCAGGAAAAGGTTAGGTGAGAGGAGTTTAAGATTAGGGAGATTGGTGTTTTTGCCCCTACTTGGAAGGTCAATTATGATTTTACCCTCGTCTTTTCAACTTTGCGATTTTACCCTCATTTTTTTAATCATGAATCTGAAGCCACTGTTTGCCCTGGTTCTAGACTCTGTTAACCGAAGGACGAATAAATGAATTAAATAAAAAGAATAAGTGCAAAAAAATAAAAATAAAAGATAACCCCTGACCTCATCCTAACCCTCCCAGCTTCCACTGATGGTTGATTAACCATGTACAACCTGTTGAACTTTGCTTAGATTTGAAATATTTGCAATTTTATTATGTAAAAATTCTTTCAAAATGCTGTCCAAATATTTGATGCCGAAATAGAGGTTAAAATCAGAGAGTACTCAAAAACCTAGGGGCAAATTCACATGGGAAAAGTAGTCTTTTGTAGCTGAACTGACACCGTTAACTCCTCTAAACAGAGCAGGTTAAACTCTGCATTCGTTTTGAAAAGGCAGGGGCAAAATTGCAAGGTTAAATAAATGAGTGCAAAATCACACTTAGACTTCAAAATGGGGGTAAGAACACAAGAGCCCCTTAAGCTTATGCTCATCCACTGTAGGCAGGCTTATGACATATGCATAAGGCATCAAGAAGCCAAGACATTTGGAGGAGCTTCATGGCCTTAACTCTAATACAGTTCTGCATTCTCCATTGTTGTCCTAGTACACATATTAGCATATATCCAAGATAATCTAGAGCTAAGTATTCGACTTTTAACAGATAACAGTATAACATGTAAAGAAGCTGATGTGAGATACAAAAACAAAGAAAAAAGATTCCAAGATGAGCAAGATTAATGTACCTCAAGGGAAGAATATAATTCTTCTTCGACACTTTTTTGGATCGATGCTTCTAAGGACAATGCACTGGCTTCAGTATATCCAGTGGAATTGTATATATAATCGGTGACATTGTGAGTGAATAACTCTTCAAGTGATGGGACATTTGATAGAAGTTGCATTCCAAAAGGGCCCTGACAATAGATTATGGTGAAGAAGAAAAGTGTAAAGGATTATCCCTGCTACAAATACAACTGGACAATAAACATGTGCACATATACAAATTAAGACAAAACTAGAAGTGAAGTAATTCTCCTGCACATTCAAGGAAAAAGAAAGAAAAAAAAGTGAAGTTATCCTAGAAATTCAAACACATGGTTTCCTTCATGGTTAGCCAATAATTTTTACAACTGAATTATATTAGGACTTCCAATAGGTCAATAGAATGCATTCGATTGCACATAATGGAAGGGGGATATATTGTGTTGTCAGGCTTGTCCCAGCTATCCTTCAAAACATGGTTAGATAACCACCGTGACAACATTTAGTCATTTACAACAAATTACATAACCAAATCACCACATCACGCCACATGCCAGAATTAGTGAACAATTAGATTATACATTTAAGAGTTAGCTGGAATATCCTCTCCTCTTTGCCTAAGCAAACTTCACAATTAAAATCCATATAATTTCAATATTTGCAGAGGAAGATTTTGCATGAACTTGTGCAGCGCCTATGTTGTCTCAACATAGCAGGTCCCAAGCCCTGGTAAAGGAGGAGGGTTGTGATAGGCGTGGCGAGCCAACGTTAAATCTAGCCATTCTAATGGAGATGAAACCCGAAAGAAAACCGTTGGGGCGTAACCCTCTTAGCAACGCGCCATATCGGAACCCGGGTATGGTGTTAAATGGGCAAGGGCCGGGTCGGCACCCCCTTGGTGATGCGTCGTGTCGCGATTTGGGCATGGTGTCAAGTGAGCAAGGATCGGGTCGTCGCTTCCTTAGTGGCGCGCTACATCGGCGCCCGGGTGTAGTGAAAAATGAGCAAGGGTCTTCGCACCTGAGTCGACGGGTGCGAAGGGTAACAAAGCTAGTCGAACCAACTAGGATCTATTTAGGTAGGTGGAATGTAGGGTCGCTTACAGGTAAGTTAAGAGAATTAGTTGATACTGCGACTAGAAGGCGTGTAAATATATTATGCGTTCAAGATACTAAATGGAAGGGTCAAAAGGCGAAGGAGGTGGACAATATAGGTTTCAAGCTTTGGTACACAGGGACAGTCGCGAATAGAAATGGAGTAGGAGTTTTGATTGATAAGAGCCTCAAGAATGGTGTTGTGGGAGTAAGAAGGCAAGGAGATAGGATTATCTTAGTCAACCTTGTCGTTGGTGATATGGTCTTGAACGTAATTAATGCGTATGCCCCCCAAGTAGGCCTCGACGAGAGTGCTAAGAGACAGTTCTGGAAAGACTTAGATGGCCTGATTAGAGTTGTACCTAGTAGTGAGAAGCTTTTTATATGAGGAGATCTTAATGGGCATATAGATACTACAAGCGCAGGTTTCGAGGCAGTTCATGGAGGTTTTGGGTATGGTAGTAGAAATCAAGAGGGGGAGGAAGTTCTGGACTTCGCGGTAGCTTTTGACCTGATGATAGCCAACACTTTCTTTAGAAAGAGAGAATCTCATCTAGTGACCTTCAGTAGCGGACAACACTCTAGCCAGATTGACTTTGTCCTCGCAAGAAGAAAGGACAAACGAGCATGCTTGGGTTGTAAGGTGATACCAGGGGAGTGTGTTGTTTCTCAACATAAGCTTTTGGTGACAAACTTTTGTTTTCAGGTGCGTGCCCGTAGTGATAAACAAGCTAAGATTGAAAGAACAAAGTGGTGGAAACTGAAAGGGAGACGTCAGAGGTATTCAAGAAAAGGGTTATCAAAGAGGGCTCTTGGAAGGAAGAAGAGAACATAAACAACATGTGGGAGAAGATGGCAACCAACATTTTAAAGGTGGTCTCAGAGGTGTGTGGAGTAACCAAAGAAAGTGGAGGCGAGGCTAAAGATACTTGGTGGTGGAACGAGGAAGTCCAAAGGGCTATTAAGGAGAAGAAAGAATGCTATCGACGCTTGTACCATGACAGGTGTGTGAACAACATAGAGAAGTACAAGGTGGCAAAGAAGACCGCAAAGCGAGCTGTAAGTGTGGCAAATGGTAGAGCGTACGAGGATCTTTACCAACATTTGAGTACGAAGGAAGGAGAGAAGGACATTTATAGGATGGCTAGGGTTCGTGAGAGAAAGATAAGGGACTTCAACCAAGTTAAGTGCATTAAGGATGAAAGGGAGCATCTCTTGGTGAAAGAGGATGAGATTCGACATCGATGGCAAGAGTATTTTGACAAATTGTTCAATGGTGAGAATACGGACACAACCTTTCAGTTGGATGACTCTTTTGATGACAGCAATAGGCGCTTTGTGCGGAGAATTCAAGAATCTGAGGTCAGAGAGGCGTTGAAAAGGATGAAATGAGGTAAGACGATGGGACCGGATGGTATCTCAATCGAGGTGTGGAGATACCTCGGGGACATAGCTATAGTATGGCTAACGAAGCTATTCAACCATATTTTTCGATCGAACAAGATGCCTGACGAGTGAAGAAGTATATTGGTACCGATCTATAAGAATAAAGGGGATATTCAAAGTTGTACTAATTACCGGGGAATTAAGTTGATGAGCCATACTATGAAGCTATAGGAGAAAGTTATCGAGCATCGCTTGAGAGAAATAACGCGGGTCTCTATGAACCAATTTGGTTTCATGCCCGGAAGGTCAACCATGGAAGCCATTTTCTTAATAAGACAAGCTATGAAGCGGTATAGGGAGAAGAAGGATCTACACATGGTTTTTATTGACTTGGAGAAAGCTTATGATAAAATACCAAGGAATGTTATGTGGTGGGCTTTGGACAATCATAGAGTCCCAACGAAGTACGTCGTGCTCATTAAAGACATGTACAACAGTGTTGTGACTAGTGCTCGAACAAGTGATGGAGACACAGATGACTTCCCGATTAGGATAGGACAACATCAAGGGTCAGCTTTGAGCCCTTATCTGTTTGCCTTAGTGATGGATGAGATCACAAGAGACATACAAGGGGACATCCCTTGGTGTATGCTTTCGTGGACGATGTAGCGCTAGTTGATGAAAGCCGGAGAGAAGTGAATCAGAAACTAGAGTTATGGCGGGAGACTTTGGAGTCCAAAGGTTTTAGACTCGGTATAACTAAAACTGAGTATATGAGATGTGACTTCGGCACTAATACTCGGGAGGAGGAAGATATTAGTTTGGAAGGTCAAGTAGTGCATAGGAAGGATACCTTTCGATATTTATGATCAATGCTACAGAGAGACGGGGATATTGATGAAGATGTTAGCCATAGAATCAAAGCAGGGTGGATGAAGTGGCGCCAAGCATCTGGTGTCCTATGTGACAAAATGGTACCACAGAAGCTAAAAGGCAAGTTTTATAGGACGGCGATTAGACCTGCTATGTTGTATAGTGCAGAATGTTGGCCTACGAAAAGACGACATGTTCAACAGATAAGTGTCTCGAAAATACGTATGTTGCGTTGGATTTGCGGTCATACAAGAAGGGATCGAGTTCGGAACGATGATATACGTGATAGATTAGGGGTAGCACCAATTGAAGAAAAGCTTCTACAACACCGGTTGAGATGGTTTGGACATGTCCAACGGAGACCTCCAGAGTCACCGGTGCGTAGTGGAATCCTAAGCCAAGATAGTAACGTGAAAAGAGGCAGAGGAAGACCGAAGTTGACTTGTAGAGGCAATAAAAGGAGACTTGAAAGGATGGAATATACCCAAAGACTTAGCCTTAGATAGGAGTGCTTAGAAAACAGCTATTCACGTGCCTGAACCTTGATTGCTTCTGCTGGGTTTCAACTCTAGCCTACCCCAACTTGTTTGGAACTTAAAGGCTTTGTTGTTGTTGTTGTTGTTGTGCAGAGCTCTAGAAATACTACATGAAGCAAGAGTATTTTCTAATGACTCAAGAACTCTCATGGTTTGAGAGTTTCAGCTAGAGTTGCTTTATGGGACACGTAGGAGAGCTGTGTATCATTATATTAAGAAGAAAATGGGGTAAGAACCCAGTACTGCAACCTGCTCTTATCTCCTGGTGCCAAGTGAGGTAAAAAGGTTGCTTTGTATGGGATTATTTACTTTTTTTCTCTCTACTAGTATAAAGATATGCAGCTCTCCTGTGTGTGTTCGAGAAAAAAAACTGTATTTTACCATTTAGGCATTTACCAAAACTTCTTACTATACAGCTTAGAATATGTCTCGATATGGTTGATTTTTGTCAAATGCCATAAGGAAACCAGGAATAAAATCATTTCCGTTCTTGGAGGACTTTGGTGAGGACCTTGGACGATCCAGGCCCATATAAAGCAAAATCAAGATTGAGGAAGAAAAAAACATGCAGTGTTTGTATCCATATTCCACCAAGGTACTTTGGAATATGCTAATAGGTCATTTCCTAGAAGAATATTAGGAACCTTAACCACGTGGGAGAAGAAACAATGGTTTTTGTAAAAAAATCTTATATGCACTTGTATTCATGTAACTATTCCTATCTGTTAGCCCACATGTTTCTCCACATCAATCCAAAAAATCTCGACCCAACTCGGCAACTCATTAGCCCATGAGGCTAACAGACCAAAGTCGCACGTTCCACTGTTCCAGCCCCCCAGAGTTGCCCATTCCCCATTCCTCAACCTAACCTAGATACACCGTACGCGACACTGCGACAACAGCAAATGGTGGCAGGCGGCAGGCGGCAGCGTGACGGGTGGGCGGTTCAGCGTCAGAGGCTCACACGCTTGTGCCTGCACGCGGGCTGAGGTGATACGGCATTGGCCGCTGTCGAGGAGCGAAGGAAGGACAGACAATGAGGCGGTGTCATGGTGACTGGTGAGCAGTGGAGCTGCATCAGTTAGTCATTTGGCAAGTCTACGACAAGGGAAAGCAGGCAATGCCGATGGCCACACAGGCAAGGCAAGGTATGCACATTGCACTCCATGTGTTTGATGAAAATTCCAAACTCAAGTCTTTTTTATGTTATTGTAATTTCCTTTCCTATTTTGTAAAGTCTTAACTATGAGATATTTCTATTATGCAAGTTGTCAACGTATTGTACTTTGGTTACTATTATGGATTTATGGTCATTGCCGCACTTTTGGTTATTCTTATGGTCTTGTGATCCTATATATATTGCATTTGCAGTGCACAAATTTTTTACAATGAATACCAAGGTGCAAATTCCTGGCTACACCACTAATCAAGGGCATAGCCCATCTCTTCTGCCACTGGCTTGGGTGTACGCCTCCTGGCTGCCACTCCCAATGGTACCTCCCTCAAGCAGCCACCTCCCTCCCTCTCTCCTAATTCTCCCCCAAATCCACATGGTAATCTAGAAGCATAACACTCTAGCTTTGTGTTAAGAGAGGGAAGTACATAATCCTTTATGGAGGTACTCACACAACCTGCGAGCACCGAGTTTAGACCAGGAGGGCAGCCTGTGACCTCAAGGCTCTACCAACTGAGTTATAGCTGAAAGTAGATATGGCACAGGGAATAGTAGATTGATTCAATGTGTACAAGAGGGTACAGTATATATAGGCAAGGATCGCGGTAGGGTTTATAGAACACCCAATCAACGGAGATCCTTGCCTAATCAGAGAGATCAACTACCATAATACCCTGAGGTAGCCCAGCCACCAGGCGTGGGCTCCAAGGCCCATGGCCAGCCCTATAGGTGCTAGTCTAACACGCCCCCGCAGTCTGATCGTCAGCCACTCTGCACGTTCAGACTGGACCTGAACTCCGTGAACACCGAAGAGGGAAGTCCCTTAGTGAGGATGTCCGCATATTGTGAAGAGGTTGGAACATGCAGGACACGAAGATCACCAATAGCAACTCGCTCCCGGACGAAGTGAAGATCGATCTCAATGTGTTTAGTGCGCTGATGTTGGACCGGGTTGGAGGACATGTAAACTGCACTTATGTTGTCACAATACACCAGTGTGGCATGCCGGAGAGGAGCATGCAGCTCCAAGAGAAGCTGGTGCAGCCAGGTGGCCTCAGCGACTCCATTAGCCACCACGCGATACTCGGCTTCAGCGCTGGATCTTGACACCGTGTTTTGGCGCTTGGAGGACCAAGAAATGAGATTGTCGCCAAGAAACACAGCATAGCCCGAGGTGGATTTGCGGGTGTCCGGACAACCAGCCCAATCAGCGTCAGTGTAGACAACAAGATCAGTCGAAGTAGACGGTCGCAGCAGGAGACCAAGGTGAAGAGTGCCTCGAACGTAGCGCAGAATCCGCTTGAGAGCCGCGAGGTGAGGCTCACGGGGGTCATGCATATGAAGGCAGACTTGCTGCACAACGTATGCAATATCTGGCCGGGTGTACGTCAAGTACTGTAGGGCTCCAGCAAGACTGCGAAAATCTGAGGCGTCAGACACAGGTGCGCCATCGGCTACAGCAACCTTTGGATTAGTGTCAACTGGAGTGGAGCACGGCTTGCACTCTGCCATCCCGGTGCGATCAAGAATATCCAGCATGTACTGCCGCTGAGAAAGGAGTTCATCACCACATTGTTGAACATGCATACCGAGGAAGTGATGCAATTCACCAAGGTCTTTCATGGCGAACTCCTACTGAAGAGCTGAGATGATCCGTCGAAGGAGACCGGGTGAGGAAGCTGTGAGGACAATATCATCAACATAGAGCAGCAGGTAGGCAATATCTGATCCGCGTTGGTAAACAAAGAGCGAGGTGTCTGACTTGGCTTCAACAAATCCAAGAGAGAGCAAGTGTGTAGCCATCCGACTGTACCAGGCATGGGGGGGCCTGCTTGAGGCCATATAGGGACTTGTTCAGGTGAAAGACATAGTTCGGATGTGCTGGATCTTCGAACCCAGATGGCTGCTGATAATACACTGTCTCTGTCAGGTTGCCATGCAGAAAGGCATTCTTCACATCAAGCTGGTGGACAGGCCATCGGCGAGAGAGCCAGGGAGAGCACCGTGAGGACAGTAGCAGGCTTCACCACGGGACTAAAAGTCTCATCAAAGTCCACACCAGGCCGCTGTGTAAAGCCACGGAGAACCCAGCGCGCCTTGTACCCCTCGAGGGAGCCATCAGACTAAAACTTGCGCTTGAAGATCCACTTGCCCGTGACGACGTTGGCCCGAGGGGGGCGAGGCACAAGATACCAAGTGTGATTCTTCAAAAGGGCACTGTGATCCTCTTCCATAGCTGCTCGCCAATTGGGCTCAGCTAGAGCACTACGGAAGGTCTTCGGCACCGGTGACAGGGGCGCGGCGTGGAACGCAGCAGGCATCCGATATCCGCTCTTCGAACGCGTGCCCATGGCGTGCTGGTTGGTCACTGGAGGGACAGCAACAGCACCCTTGGGCAGCTGGTGTAGGCGCAGCCAGAGCAGGAGGTGCTCGAGGACGGCGCGTGTAGTGGTGGGTGAAGACGCGCTCCGGTCGAAGAGGCGGGAACCCGGGCGGGGTGCCTGAGGAGGCGACACCGGCACTGAGGAGCCCGCGGGCAGCGCTGGAGACGTCGAGGCCGCGCAAAGAAGCGCAGGCCAGGGACGTCTGAAGCAGCGAGAGGCGCCCCAAAGAGCGGCCGCTGGCGCGCGAAGCGTCTTTGGTGCGTCTAAGCAGCAGCGTGGCGTGATGGAGAGCTCTGCAGGGTCCCCGGGGGACACACCAAACCGTCTTCTAGGACCTTTTCTTCCGCTGCCCTAGCTCGCGCGCCGGCCTCTTGCCGCGCAGCGCTTCCCCCACGCGCCGGCTGCTCGCCGTGCAACGCCCACCATGCCAACCACCCCTCCTTCTACTCCCAAGTCTGGGGATGAAGCTGCCTTTCCTTTTGCCGAGCGCGATGGCCCGCGCCTTCCCGCGGACTTTGAGTTTCTTGATGCTACTGATGTTGTGCCCGCTCCTATTGGACCTCCGCACAGGTTTTTGCCTGCAGGAACCCCGTCCATCACCTTGGTGCTACTTCACACATGACCTCAGTCCGCTTCCCCTTCACATGTTCTTTTCCCGCGGTATCCTACTCCTTCATCTATTATTGTCGGTAATGGCTCCATCCTTCCTGTCACTGCCACTGGCTCCACAGAGTTGACACACGCTTTGCGTCTTAATAATGTTCTTGCTCCAATACCATGAAAGTAGATATGGCACAAGGAATAGTAGATTGATTCAATGTGTACAAGAGGGTACAGTATATATAGTCAAGGATCGCTGTAGGGTTTATAGAACACCCAATCAATGGAGATCCTTGCCTAATCTGAGAGATCAACTACCATAATACCCTGAGGTAGCCCAGCCACCAGGCGTGGGCTCCAAGGCCCATGGCCAGCCCTATAGGCGCTAGTCTAACAATAGCTCAGTTCTCAGAAATAATTAGGAACAGCAAGAAAGTTTTTTGTACCAAGTAAGTTGGTGTAGGCCTGAAGAAAATTAGGAGTGCTTCCCTAAAGAAGTCTTGTGACTACTTATAGACTGTTACTCTGTTATCACTTCACTACTTATATTTCTAAAAAGGGTAGCTACAGATTCACTTACACATGATAATTCAGCATCACAAAGTCTAGATTTATGCATTGAAAATCTAAATTTAACTGATGCATTTGGCAGAGCAACATTTGGGCTGACGGATATAGAACAAAACACATCAGTACCCAATTATACTGTGTTAACTGAAATGTGCCTTCCAAAGAAAAGACAAACCTGTTCAAATAATTGAATTAATCTTCTAATAGACTTTGGGACCCAACATGGAAGCATTTGCAACAACGAAGTGTCTCCTCCAGCAGAGGAAAAAATGCTATAGCGCCATCTCAAGTACTCTGAAATTGATCTTTTTCCAAACACTGAAAAAACACATTTCTTTTCTTAGCATAAGGAAATAATGAATGGTCATTTTTTCTTCTCAAAAGCAGAGCTTCAACAATCTGAATATAGTGTGAAGTTTTTGGTTGATTACCATTACCAGCAGAGTAGTTTAAACACCCATATTCATCTTGGCCAAAACAAGAAGAAAAAAGGGTTTTCCATAGCGTTGGAAATTGCTGGAGACAAGGAGCCAGGTTCTCCAATGTGCACTGGGAAGACGAACCACTTCTGTTCACACTTCCAGTACATATGGATTTCTGAATTGGTGCTGAAGCATACATCAAGGTAGCTAGTGCAGACATTTCACCAATTCGTTCAGCCATATCATCTACTGTATACAACATTTCATCTATCTCAACAGCAGTAAGACTACTATTACTGACCGTTTTCTTTGACAAATTCCAACAGGCATTAGAGAATGATGCCTCAAACTCATGACCTTTGATCCTGGAGAAGAGCAACCATTGTGCCCACTTGCAATCACCCTGAAAATATCCACAGCATAACAACCAAATCAAACAAAATTACATGTATAGTACTAAACAGGAACATGTTGAGCAAATTAATCTCTGGTGGTTACAATTAAACTTAACCTTCTTATACTTTTCCAAAGGATATTTTAAAACAGAGTGTTTACATGTAGATTGAAGGGGCTACAACAGTCATAACTTGGTCCTCAAAAGATATAAATTCCAACCATGCTATAGCAAATTTATAGTCCACGTTCTTTCTTTCTTTTTTTTTAACATGCAAAAGAGTCGCATACAATCATTAATAAGAAGAAAAGGTTTGAGCGAATACACATTCACACCACACAAAAGAAAAGAAGACGACCACGACTACTCAAGGTTATAGAACACCTAACTAACTACCTAGCGCCTAATCTTTTTATTATTATTAAAAAAATAATAAATCTAGTTTGCTTGGCAACCAGTTGGTTACTGTCAGCTCTGCACTGCTAGAGGTCAGAGAGCTGAATACAAACAACAATGTTGAATAGCAAGTATTATAAACTAGAATTGCACCAGAACTTACTGCAGTTTCTTTGAGCAAACGGATACAATCCTTTTCAGGAGCCAAATTACAGATGTCCAGATAGAGGTCCAGTAGATATGGCAAGTTATATTGCACACAGAAACGTATAATTAACTTATGCAGTGCACCTTCACGACCCTGGTGATGGGCATCATCTGGCATCTCTGAAGCAAAAGATGTTGTAGAACATTGTTCCTTTGAACCAACCTTTATAAGTATGCCAGCACGAGCAAGCAAAGGTATAATTTCAGTAGTACATTGCCAGTACTCTTTCATAAAGATGTGTTTCTTTGCCAATTCCTGCTGCATTACCATTCGAATATATAACGTTGATTCATGATTGCACAAAGATCTAAATACTTTAACATGTGGTATCTCCATACAGACTGGTTCAAGCTCTTCTGAGTCACATATGTACATGTTGTAATCAGGGAGTGTTAAATCAGAAAGAGTGTTGGCAGCGGCTTGTAAACTGTCCACATTTACTCTAATAATCCCTTCTGAATGTATGCTATTGGGAATCATGTCCAGGAGTTTGCAGACTTTCCCCGCATCATTATGAGCAACAAAATATTCAAACTGAGATTCCCATGGGATATGAGCATTTATATGATAAGGCTGGTCCAGCAATATCTACAGAACATATAATAAGAATCATGAATCCATAAAATTACAAGTAATCCAGGGCCTCAATCGGAATTTGGCATGCTATAATCATAACAAAAGCATCATAAAAAATAAATCACACCCCAAGGCACATTCCCATGGAAAAAATAACGAAACCAAGATACAAAATCTGGTATTTGTAACAGTAGATCGTATGTGGTATCAAATGCCCCTGCAATGGGTCAAAATATGCAGAAATCAATTGGGTAACAAGAACTCTTAGTTTTCTCACTTTTTTATGGCAGTTTGTACAGCTCATGCAACAAGATTTTTTTTCCACGAATTTCTTACATGAGCTACAACACATGGTTCTTATCAGAAATAAGGTGCAAGTAACCTATCAGTAAGTTAAAACAACAATCATGACTTACACGGTCCACAGTTCTCTGATCCCACGCATCCGACCATACAGCAGCACAGGCCCAATAACCATCAGAAATGTTGCTACCAGAGAACTCCTTAGTGTAATTGTAATCATTAATGTTCACCCAAGAACCAAGCACTGCTCCATCAACATCACCACATTCAATAATGGGGTGGTTGCGAAAATGTAGAGAAAATACGGGTTTATCTTCTCCTGGCAGTGTAACAATTTTTGCAGCATCACGAATGACATTCTCCCTGCAAAAATATGTGTCCCAGAAGCTGCTGCTCGGGTAGAGCCGCTTTTCCACAGAGGAAAAAAAATGTTGATCAGTATTAAGCTAAATTGAAGTGTTAGAATTGGTAAATAAATGAGCTAAAGCATGTGTACAATCAACCTCAATTAGTGTTATAGTTTCTAGCATCTTCCACTCATTTGGTCTTATGTACCCACGCTTCGTCATCTCGTCAGCAATTTGTAGCCTTAGTGACCTCCTGACAGTACCTTGCATAAGTTCTCTTAGGTCTGACTCTACATCATCTCCCAGCCTTTCTAGTGTTGCTACAGCCAATCCAGTTTCACCCTGCAAAGTACAATAGTCAGAAACAGCAACAGGAACACATACTTTACTAGACTAAGTGTACTAAATTACCTTCATCAACAGATCATACACAATGGATCTTCCAATTTCATGAACTTCAGAGAAAGCATCTCCTGAATCATCATTGGAGACAAATTCCCTCTGGCGCAAAAGCTGCAACTGAAGAACTGCTAAAGGTAGGCGACCAGACTGCAGTGCTTCTCTGACTACAGTTTTCAAGTCAAAGTTATTCATTTCCCATCTGTTAACCATCTCCTTGATATTTCCTTGAATAATTTGTCTTCCAACTTGAGTAGTCCCTTTATTAGTATCAATGTCATGGAGAGTTGAAGCACTAAGAGATGACTCAACTGGTGTTAGAGCTAACATGCTGTTGCTATCAGGAACCAACACAGGAGCTGACTCTTGCCTGTTATAAGCATCTAAACCACCTGATGGCCCTGATGAAACACCATCCACTACAACAACTGGAAGCAAAGAATCATTCTGAAATACTTCTGTACCTATTTTCAATGAGTTCTTATCATCTCCCTGCCGCAGTATAAGCACAGCATTAAGTAAATGGTCATTTGAAGACTACTATAAACCAATATAAGCAACAGTGTCGTCACTTTACCGTCCGAACAGAATTCTGATTCTTTGCAGAGATTCGGCTCTGGATACTTCTTATTACCATCAAAAGGAGAGCCATTTCATGAAGCTTTACTGAATTATTATCTGGCATGTCAGAGGCATAAAGAGAATAAATCTCACATATAACAAAGAAAATAGTACAATAAAAAAGAATTACCTGTGTTTTGCTTTTGTAGCCCATAACATTTGATCATTCTTGTTGCAAAGCGGACAGCTAAAACCATTAACCTGTTTTCACACTGTAAGCTTACAAATTACATGAAGCTAAAAGTGTGACACATAGCAGACTACATTAACACAAGGAAAATAGGACAAATAACACAAATCATGCATTCATGCCTCTTATAGTATGTATTCCTAAGGGGGTGTTTGGTTTGAGGAATGGGATAGCCCATCATCTTCTCACTCCTCACTTTATTTGTTTGGTTTGTGGAATGGAATGAGTTGGTCCATCACCAGCTCATTTCCCGACAAACTAATAATTAGTATAAGCAAGAGGAACAGAGTCATTCCACCAAATTTGAGGGATGGACGTATCAATGTACTGCACTGCAGCTTTGAGGATACAAGGCATTATGTTGTTGGATCTGTTGCACCCTAGCACAGGTTTTTGTTTTGCAGGCTAAATTAACAAATGACATCCTAAAAAAGCATTGCAAACTGGCAGTGGGTGTCAAAACATGCTTATGTTACACTAATATTGCTAGTAGAAGTACGAATGTATAACATCATTGCGAACCCATTCTGTACAAATGATATTTCGAAATATCATAAATAGTAATGGCTTATATTTGAAGTATTTAGTATCTGTACAAATGATATTTCGAAATATCATAATTAGTTTGGAAGGTCAAGTAGTGCCTAGGAAGGATATCTTTCGATATTTAGGATCAATGCTACAGAGAGACGGGGATATTGATGAAGATGTTAGCCATAGAATCAAAGCAGGGTGGATGAAGTGGCACCAAGCATCTGGTGTCCTATGTGACAAAAGGGTACCACAGAAGCTAAAAGGCAAGTTTTATAGGACGGCGATTAGACCTGCTATGTTGTATGGTGCAGAATGTTGGCCTACGAAAAGACGACATGTTCAACAGATAAGTGTCGCGGAAATGCGTATGTTGCGTTGGATTTACGGTCATACAAGAAGGGATCGAGTTCGGAACGATGATATACGTGATAGATTAGGGGTAGCACCAATTGAAAAAAAGCTTGTCTAACACCGGTTGAGATGGTTTGGACATGTCCAACGGAGACCTCCAGAGGCACCGGTGCGTAGTGGAATCCTAAGCCAGGATAGTAACGTGAAGAGAAGTAGAGGAAGACCGAAGTTGACTTGGGTAAAGGCAATAAAAGGAGACTTGAAAGGATGGAATATACCCAAAGACTTAGCCTTAGATAGGAGTGCTTGGAAAACAGCTATTCACGTGCCTGAACCTTGATTGCTTCTGCTGGGTTTCAACTCTAGCCTACCCCAACTTGTTTGGGACTTAAAGGCTTTGTTGTTGAGTATCTGTAAAGTTCCATGACCCAATTAGAGTGGCTTAAATGGTGTAGGCCCATCATATGTTCAACCCCCCCAAACACACCCACACACCCACACAAGAAGGTTGCGACAGTTGTACAGGTGTTCTGTGCAGGCTTGAGCCTACTACAGATGCATTCAGCTTCCATTAGCCATTCCTCCATGACTCAGCCTGCTATCAACTTTCTATGATGCACCACTATTTTAAGACCTCACAGATTAAGCACTGGTTAGAGAGAGAAGTAAAGTTTTATCTTCATATAGTTCACTCGTGATGAAAAACAAAAATACATGTGAGCAAGTTCTGTTGCTGAATCTTTGCTACGCATCTCTCTAAAAAATGGTGTACCCAGTGCAGAGAGCTCCCGCTCTGTGCGGGGTCTGGGGAAGGGTGTCAGTGGCAAGCCCTACCCTCGCCTGTGCAATGCGAGGAGACCGCGACTCGAACCCGGGACCTTCCGGTCACATGTGGTAAGACTCTACCGCTTACACCAGGCCCGCCCTTCTTGCTACGCATTTCTCTAATCTGTTATATAGTAAACTGCCCATAATTGTACCAAGTGTGGACTTCATGATATTCCTTTTCCTTGCCGAAACAGCATGTGACAATTATGAAAAAACGAATTCAACAATTTTATATATCTTTGGAAGTGGATAAAATTAATATAGCTGTAGTGAAGGATTGATGTTGTTAAGTTGTGAAAGAACATCAAATATATGATCTTATAACAGTAATCCGCATTATGATCCTTCTGACCCAGGCTAACCTACGGAGTTATTACTATTTAACAGATAAATGTAGACAACAGACAAAATGTTTCCACGAGCCAAATGTATTTCAAAAGACAAACCTAACTTATTAATATAGCTTATTACAATGACAAGACGGATCTTAACAGGGAACAAAACATACTTGGATGACACCGCAGCTTCATTACCACTTCCAGTCCTACTAGATAACTGATGAATAGATGCCAATAGTAGTTGCAAGACACCTTCTTCCGCAAGATTGACCTCAGCGAGCAAATTCAGTGACCTAGTAAGCCAATAGCGTTAGATATCCATGCATACAGAAGATAATATTAATGCAAATTCAAATAATTCTTCAATAAAAAAAAGTAGACAAAAACACAATAAAAGCGTACTTGGTTACTTAAAATAGAAAAATGGAGTTAAATGCATGAGCAGCCCCTGAACTTGTCAAGGGGTGCCACTTAGGTCCACTAACTTTAAAAATGCATTTCTAGGTCCCTAAACTTGTTAAGTGGCTCACCGCAGGGGTCGATATGGTCCAGGAATGGACCTGCGTTGCACCATTTTACAAGTTTAGGGATGTGAGGTGCACCACTTAATAAGTTCAGGGACCCAAAAAAATATGTTTTCGAAGTTCGTGGACCTAAGTGGCATCCCTTGACAAATTCAGGGGCTGCTCATGCATTTAACTCTTTAGTACACCAAATTGATGGCACATGGCAGTATAGACTATAGAGGAAGAGGACAAACCTCTAATGATCAGAAATTGAAAGCAAAGATAAAAAAAAAATCAACCTTGTTTCTGGAATACCACAAGATTATCAATAGATAAGCAGACTGAAAAAGTTCATAATGTACAAATTCATATTACCATGGAAATAATTTACACGATATGAAATATACTCCAAAAATCCAATATTCGGACTCCAACATGTAGTAATAATACATCACAATTATCAAGACACACCAAAAGAATAAACTGTGCAAATAGTCCAAAAACAGATAAGAAATAGGACTTGGGGGTGGTGCATATATAATGTTAAAGCAAATCATGAACAAATGAAAGAGAAAGTGCCAGGACAAAAAGAAAATACAGGGTCTTACTGCTCTAGATCACCAATCATTGAGTAGTGAAGGGCCAATTGCAGCCACCGTAACCTAGAGAATTTCAAATCCCATCCTGCCAATGCAATAAACGAAGTTAGGGCACATGATGTTCTAAGAACTATGTTTGTCACAGATTTATTAGTGTCATTGTATCATCCACCTAAATTAGATCCTGGAACGTGCATAATCATATCACTGACAAATAGTACTCCCTCCATTCCAAATTGCAAGTCGTTTTGGCTTTTCTAGGTACATAGCTTTTGCTATGCACATAGATATATGCTATGTCTAGATACATGTATGTATCTAGAAAAGCCAAAACAACTTACGATTTGGAATGGAGGCGGAGGGAGTAGTAGTAAAGACAATGGGAAGAACATCCTTGCTTGTTGGATATCTCTCCAGAACAATAAAGAGCATAGGATCTTTTAAAAAAAATATTCATTACTGGTCAGGGTCTACCACCTGAAACACTAAATGATTCAAGCAAATGCTGAATAGCAGTCGCCAAGAATGACTAGTATCATCCAGATGCAAAATCTTACAATGTATGCATGTCGAAATTAATACCTTCACAGATATTCACTGCATTCAAGTAACATACCATCTGGGTGTCCTGGTAGCTAAGCCTATAGAGGGTTTTGTTTAATTTTGCATTTTCTCCCTGGAGGATCACACCAAGAGTTTGGCGATGTATCATGTACATTTGGTTTTCCTTCATACCTTATTAATATGACGATGGGCAGCTCTTATTCTAGTTTGAGAAAAAAAATGCTAAAATTATCATCGCAATATGCCACTGAATAACTCCATAGCTATGGGTATATTGTGGATTCAAGAGTTATTCAGTATCATATAGTACATTTATCTAATCTAATAACTAAACCAAGCCCAAAAAATGTAAAATCCATGAGAGATACTTTCGAGGGAAATTGAGTATCAAGCCATGGTTCCTTCATAAATTATGTTAATTAGATACAATCAAATTAGACATAACCTTATGAAAACAAATCCATTACTAAAAATGTCCAATGAAGTGAAGACAGGACCACAGGATAAGAAAGGCAACTAAAATACTACAATGGGACAGGGACCCATCCATGTAACAAGATGCCACACAAATACGAAAACAAAAGGCAACTGAAAGAAAACACACCATTCTCCCAACAGAGCCTGTCTGCTAGTGCAGGCCCTTCATACAACAACGCTCTATCCAGAACTTCTATTTGCCAGGTTTTCCAGCTTGTTTCAGATCTGTCAACAGATAATAAGTTCAGAGCATTGCATGTACTACCAGTAGCAGGACCCGGTTGCCAAAATTTGATGGTGTCACCATGAGATGAAAAAGACGATACAGAAACCGGAGGAAGGACCACAGAAAGACCATACTGGGTAATTAAATACAGATACCCCTGGCAGGAGCAAACAACAGAATCTCCAACAAAAGCAGAATCCTTCTGAAATGGAAGCATTTTGTCCATAAGACCAACATCAATATCTCCTTTGCCAAGAAAAGATGAATACATAAGCAACTCGGAATGAAAAATTTTGACATGCTCGTTTCCATCCGTAATAGAACCTTTAAAAATCCTAGTTAGTCCAAGTGGAGACAGGCTAATTACATCCTGCTGTGATCTGCGTGGAGGAAGAATTATCCTCCTTAAGAAACTAGAGGAATTTGTGTGAGGATAAGCTACCCCAACTTTCATCTGCCCTGTAGTGACAAAGCCACTTGGCCAGCTGTCCACTTCATTTTCATTGCATCTATACTTTCTTCTTTTTCTAGGCCTGGCAATAACAACATTGGTTTTCCCTGAGAACTCAGGAACCAATTTGGCTAGATTAAGTGACCCTCGTATGGACTGATTAGTACAAAATGATAGACTTCCTATCTCATGACCAGCAGCTTCCCAGGTAGAAAAACAATCAGCAAAATGATTCATAACAGGCAGATCAAAGATTTCATGCACATTAGCTTTGAAGTTTAAGATGTCATCCGCATAGAACACATACACTACTCCAACCTCATCTACAACAGCAAGAAGACAAGAGTATGATGCCAAAACTAACCGCTTAAACATTCTGCCAACAAAGTTCTCAACAGGGATATTTCCCCCATCCAAATTTGTCACAATGGGCATAGAGCTCCTCAGAGGCATCTCCAGGTCTGTTCTGCACTGTTGAAGAACACTGAATGACGTCGCAAGACCACCAGTTTTCACGTTCCAAATGGCAACAAAACCTGCTGTATTAAGGCAGGTAAGAAACACATCTGATAACTGAAAATCAACCCATTTTGAACTTGGCCTAATACCATCACATGCATCCTGAAGGTCTGCCACAAAGTTCCACTGTATACCCCAGTGGTTTAGCTCCAGAACAGCAACCAAAATGCACTCTGCGCTGGATGGATGGGCCTCACAACTTACTGATTCGTTAGGAGTCAAAACTAAGCCAATCAAATAACCTGAAGAGCTAGACAGAACTTTTAGACACTCCCACTGACAACTGCATGATGCTTCAGCCACAGGTAAAGAACTAAGGAAACTTCGTGGTGATTCACTGCCAGTTTCCGGCATAGTCTTCAGAGAACATTTGCTATACCAAAACTTCAAGAAAGAGAGAGTAATGTCATATATGCTAAAGGATACCACTTCTGCTGAATTAGGTAATAAAGATTTCATGGGAAATCTGGCTTGGTATTTTCCATTAGAAACAGACGAAGTGATTGTAGTCAGGAAAGAACAAAACCACTTTTTTGGACCTGACTCACCATCCTCCAACACTGCACATTCAGTAGGGTGCCACTCTTTCCACTCCCCATGCAACTCTTTAGCATCAGACGTGGAATTAACTGCTAGTGTGCTTTTGTGAGAACGGCAGAATGCATGGACTGTGATAGAAGTATCACTAGATACCACAAGAATTTCATTAAAACTTGAGTCATCAAAAGCATCAGAACAGTATCCCCATGACAAAGACTTCACTCTCGGAATAGTAGAAAGCGTTTCGAAGACTGCCTGAGTACAGGTATCTGAGAGAGCTCTATGTGACTCAACTTGTGATGGGTTGACCTCAGCAGTTGCCAGGACAAGATCCCCTGGATTGTAAAACCATGGTAGAAAATTTTAACAATATTACCAGTACACCAACGACAAAGGCTCCAACATGATCAATGGAGAACAATGGATAGCGATAAAGCCTTACCATGTTCTGAGAGCAGTCCAAAAAGACGCCTTGTTGGAGATATAAAAGCCTCTCGAAATTCTGATAGTTTGAGATGGGGTTGTAACACCGTCCATCTGCATAACTGTAGTACACCAGGTCCATCATCTATCTGACGAGATGTGGACATCGTTCATATGCTCATCAACTGCTAATGATGGTAACAAGTAACATTGCTTGAAAAGAAACCAGAAAATAGAAGGAATTAGACAACAGCTGAACATAACATGGAAAGGTCATACAGAAAAGGAATGTAGCTCATTATTAAATACATAGAGACCAAAGTCCAAACGAATGTGCTTCAAAATGATCGAGACACAGAAAAGCTCAATAAGGTACTAAAGTTACTTGTTCTCTTATTTTTGAAAAAAAAAATCTTGGAAAAACTACAAATTATGAAGTAAGTGGGCATTTAAATAGAAAACACACATGATGACTGCTAATAATAATGCTAAAATATGACAAAATGCAGTAGTTAATTAGCTTGAGGACAACAGACATAGCCAATAGGAAGCATTAAAGAATACCAACAATCCAACATTAGTACTCAGTAACGGGACAGTGTTCGAACTCATACCTATTTCAAGCTAAAGCCTAATGGGATGTGAACATTGTTTAGCCTATGAGCAAGCTGAGCAGGAGGCTGCCTACCAAAACAATGGCACACAAGGTAGTATACAGCTACAAAACAAAGTCTATGTATGATCCCCAGCCAAAACTACTTAGTGAACCTAGAGATTACTTAACTAACAGGTAAGCAATGGGCAGATGAAAGGGTCTGCCATCAATAACAGTTACCTAATTGAGACCCACACTTCAGATGAACTCCTCCTTTTGAAACCCAGTTCAGCAAAAAAAAATTGGGTCTAAGAAGGAGCAAGCGTGCTGCGAACACATGCATGCTACTCGAGATAAGCCTAATCCCATCTCGAACTATCCAAACTCCACAACCAACAAATTTCCAAACACCCCGCGCGCGCACGATTAGCGAAGAAACGGGAGTGCCCATCAAATGAGCCAGTCCTAGCTGCGAATCGCAAAGCTTCAGGAATCAGGACTCAGATCCAGCACCGACCAAATCCCCCCAAACGAATTAAGTCCCACACTGCAACGAGCTGGCAAGCAGCAGCCCGTGGGATCGCGATGCGCCACGGGGGGAGAGGGGAGAGGGCGGCGACGGGGGAAGAAGGAGAGTGCAGCGAGTGCTCACCGGGGAGCCGAACCGGGGAGTGGGCGGCCGCGGAGGTGAGGTGGTCGCCGACCAATCACTCGGTCTGTCCGCCGTCCGCGTCTGTGTCTCCGTGCGGCAGTTGTCCTCTCGCCTCGGCTTCTTTCTGTTCTTCTCGTTTCGCTGGTGGCTTCGGCGTAGGACCTCATGTCAGTGTGGGCACGTGCCATCACGTGAGGTGACTGGAATTTTACCTTGGGCTGGAGATCTGGACTTGGATGGACGGACACGGCCACGGCCTTTAGGCCCAACGAAATGGAAATGGAGCGGATATCTTGGCAGTCAAGTTCTGGCCGATGAACACGAGGAAATGGTACGCCACGGCCCACGGTGCCGCCGGTCTGCGACACGATGATGGTGGCCTCGGTGAAGTTGCCTGCCGATCTGGCCGAAGCGCCTCTCGCCCAGGTCGCCGACTCGCCGTAGGTGTAGACGTGTAGTGGCAGCAGCGCTGGCGCTGCTGGCCGTGTCCTCTTCCTCCGTCTCTTGCTCTCGCAGCTTGTCTCTGCATTCCAGCTTCATTTGGTGGACGAAACTTTGAATCAATTAGTAAGCTAGATCTTGAGCATGGATGGATCATGGATGTACTGTTACTGACTTACTGTACTGACCAGCAGATTGGTTGGTGGTCAAAATTTGATTATCAAAACTTGGGCAAGCTAAAATTTTGACAGCCATTTGATTGGCTACCAAAAATTACCAATATCTCACAATTAACTTGTCAAATTTACAGCAAATATTCTTGTTTTAGTTGTGCTTGCCAAATCTTTGATTTAGCAATTTTTAATACCCAACCAACCAGACCCTAAGATCTTGTTTGAATGCATAGCTGTCCGTCTTAATCTATGTATACTATGGTGGCATGACGTGGATAGGACAAAGTTAACCATGAATGACCTCTGAGTCAGCATCACTAAAGAGGTATTTGAATCACAACTAGATTATAGTAACCAGATAAAATAAAGTATTGGATTATAATAATTTAACCACCACATTATATGTTATAGTCTTTTTGTCCGACCTTGTTTTTTTAGATTATAGGTCATGTGTACTCCAACTAACAATAATCCATCTTTATAATCTATATATAGATCCAAATAGTCCAGATTATTCCATAAGTCAGCATTACTAAATAATATTTGAATCACAACTAGATTATAGTAATATGAAATAAAGTACTGGATAATAAGGGACCATAAGGTCCTACTTAGATCGTTTTGGATCGTAATAATAATAACTATTCTTATAGGAATCGAGTATTCCATTACTCAACAATACTAAATTATTTGGGACTAAGGGCTTGTTTAGTTTGCAAGGGGTCATTATATGTTATAGTCTTTTTGTCCGACCTTGTTTTTTTAGATTATAGGTCATGTGTACTCCAACTAACAATAATCCATCTTTATAATCTATATATAGATCCAAATAATCCAGATTATTCCATAACCCAGATTATGATAATATTGTCTGTAATGCATACTAATATGATCTAAGTAGGATCAAAGGGACCATAAGGTCCTACTTAGATCGTTTTGGATCGTAATAATAATAACTATTCTTATAGGAATCGAGTATTCCATTACTCAACAATGCTAAATTATTTGGGACTAAGTACATGATACAATGTGGCACTCCGACCAACACGAAAGGCAAGAACTCTTGCCACTTGCTTCCTAAAGACAGCTAGCTCATGTGATACACGATTACATTCACTGGGAGCTCACTGCACTTGGGCAGACACGAAGTTCTCTGTTAACAGCACCTTCGATTCGTGCACAAGACCACATATATATATAACATTGAGAGTCTGAAATCATCTCCTTGCAAAGCCAAGAGCACTTGTTATGTGCGTCTGTCTCCAGTGCGTTACTGATGATGACCATTTGCACTGCATCGTTAACACCTTCTAAGCATGCCATCAACTCCATTCGGATTGCAGGGGAAATCCAACCTTAACCTCTCATGTGTCATCTCTAATCATGTATCCCCATCTGCCGCTTGCATCAGTTTTTTGAACGCCCCATCATCCATTCACCTTGAGGGTTCCATGCCGAGGGCGTAGCCACTTCTAAACTCTCAATTAAACGCCAGAGGTTGATATTGTAAACCCATGAATTAAAATTATAATCTATTTCGTAATCTAGAGTGTTTGAATCACCTAGAGATTATTGTTATTACTAGGTAGCGTGCCCATGCATTGATACGGGACAATTAAACTTTTTATACTAAAAATACATGGATCGCATGATAAGATAACAATAAGTGAAATTAAATACCGACTTAAGTGGTATTTAAAAAAAAAAAGTTCATGAAATTAACACAGTCATGGAGAGCGCAGCGTCGTACGCTCACCAACTCTACCGTATAGACATTTCCGTGCGTTGCAACAGGAATAAATAATACCCTGATAATTTGAGCATGAACGTGTTGTATTGTTAAAAAATCGATAATACAAGCGTGATGTTCGGAATATCAATATTACAAATTGAATTTTGTGCATGGCTAAAATTCTCAGTGATCATTTACAATCATCGTAATATGCATTTATAGTATTGTACATTTGTGCATACGCACATAAAAATTCATATCATCATAACAAAATTAATTGATTCCTCAACCTTTTAGAACTAACCATCTCTTTGAATTATCAGTTTGCTTCATATAATACTCATATACCAAGGCCACCCTTCTTCATATTTAATGTTTGACTTTTATAAAAAAAACGATTTTCTAAGTGTGATGAGGGAGTCATTCCACTCTTGCTATTGGCTATCTTCCACAATTTTATTTACTATGGAAGATGATTCTTATTTTTTTCCTAAAATAATGGATCATTGAGAAACATTAGCTGTCACAAATAGCCAAGCACGTTACAATATCTTCTAGTACTCAAAAAAAACTTTCACTACTACGTCAATCATTTGTTGAGTGCTTTCCATGCTGAAGTAAATAGCAGCTCTGCAAGGTGTCCAAGCGGCACTGAACTCGGGGGTTGGCAGACTAACCCTAGAGACCAATGCGCTCACACTCCAGCAAGAGTTGACAGTAGAGGCGTTCTATGCAAAACCTGAAGGAGGGGTGGTGCAAGAACTGAAGTCGCTAGCTTCTGTGAATTTTTTCTTTTTTGTTTGTTTATAGTATAAATCTGAAGCTATTTTTTACATGAACATAAAAGCTGTGACAAAAAATCATACGTGTTGCACGGTATAGGTGGTAAGATAAAACCGAAACTCATGCATAAACAGTGTCATCACGACAGATCTCCAACCCAAATGCTATTAGCATCCACTGGTGAGAAATAGTCAATCACAGAACAATAAGGTCTACTGCAAATGGAGAGAATCACTTGAACTAAACAACAGGGAGGGACGAGCTAATTCAAGTATTCAAGACCCGACCACAAGTCCCGGCATCCGAGCAGAGCAATTTACTATATTAAAAAAATGAACACATGCTAGATCTGATCTTAGAATGATCCCAAGTTTTAAGCCGAACAAAATGACAACCGAAAAAGAATCTCAACCAAATAAATCCAATAGATAATCCATTTTTCGTTTCTCCATTCTCAGTTGCTTCCCTCATCGACGACAGACAAATGACAAGTTGCATTCTTCTCCTCGACATGGAAGTTCTAAAATGTCATCCCCATTATTTTATATGTATTCTAGTTAAGATATAAGAAAAAAAATCATAACACACAAAAAAAAAGAATATTAAGCCCTCCTATCATTGCTTTCGAAGGTGTTAAAATCATATTATTAAGGAATAAAAATTGTGCAGGCATATGCTAGCTCATGAATACCATTTTCTATACTCTAAAAGAGCAGAAACTGCAATTTAGCATATGAAGAAGAAAACATTCGATTTATTTCTTGTGCAGTGATACAGTTTCCATGACAATCAAGTACAGGCTTAAGTAAGGATGTATGGCTGCTGCTACTTAACAAAAATTGGGATTGTTTCATTCAATGCACTGAGCAAAGAGATTATTGGTTGTTCTTGTTAAGCAGTGCAGGAATAACCAACTTCATGTGTTTTCGCTAACACATTCTTTCCCGGCCTATAGCCACCGGAAAGGAACTTATTTAGTCACGGTACAACAAATACTCAAGTGTGGACAGACGGTGAAACGAAGCAAACAATAAGGTCTCTAGAGTCAATACTGGTGGCTCTAGAGTTAGTATTCTTCAAAAAGTGCTCTTCCGCGTGCAGAAACGCACTGATGAGGCTCTCGTATCCTTACCATCTTTCATCTGTCACAGAACAAATCGACCTATCCAAAGGAGATGATGATGAGGTTCACAGAGGTAGCTAGCTTACCGATGATGAGGAGGAAGCTGGAGACCGAGGTGCATGGAAGCGCCGGCGCGCCCGAATGCGTCACCCCTACTTGCAACCACCGGCAGCTGCGACCACCCACGGCCCACCCCGCGCCGGAGACCGAGGTCACGCAGTAGCCATGGCTGCCAACCGAGAACTCCGGCAGTAGCGGCTCATTCATCCCACAGGCGGATGTGGCAGTGGAGGAACTGATAGGGATCCAGCCGCCTCTGCGCTACGCCTCCACCCGCAAGCGGAGATCACACGCCATCTCCAGATCCGGCCAGGGGCTTGACGAATCCTGCCATGGGGGCACCGGATCTAGTCCCGGAGGCGCCAGATCTGAGCCCTCGCCTACCAAAACCGTCTGAGGAGCACGCGCCGGCAGAGGATCGGGGGGGGAATCGGGAATGGCCTGGGGCTGGAGCCGGCGGAGGGTTGCGGAGGAGGTAGATGTGAGAATGCGAGAGGGAGGGCACGGGCGGCCGGGTGCAGGGCTGCGGGATGGAGGCGGGCGACGACGCGAGGGATATCGCGAGAGGGAGAGGGAGAGGGAGGGGCGGCGTGGAGCATAGAGCACATGTGTTTTTTCCGCACGGGCGAAGGCAGAGCGACGAAACGAGCGAGGTATCGCACAGTCGTGGGCAGACGGACGAAACAAAACAAATGTCGCACCAAAAAATGTCAACGCTTCGTTCTTTTTAGTTGTAGGAGATATTACTATAATTCAAGTTTATCCAGACATGATCTAAAATGATTAGGCAAAGCTCAATGAGTAACAATAAATCAAGGTGAAGCGTGTCCGCAATCGACGTTGGGTCTAGCACTGCAATTTCGAATGCTAAATCGGTATTGCGAGACTTGTATAAACACGGACGCCGGAGGAAAGGCATGCGTGGCAGGTGGCACGTACAAGACCTATTCAAAGCCGGCAACGGAGGGCTGCATTCACACCCCCCCAAAATTAGGACTAACAAGGTACCTACCCACTTTCACGCAAACACCACAAACGGCCATGAATTCCAGCACTATAAAACATTACCTTCGTGAGCATTAGAGCTACAACAAGAGAAAGCAATCAACCAAACCTGGGAAGACAACAAAAAGGGGAGATAGATACCACGCGTATCTAACATGCCGTCCCGCAACAAGATCAGCGTGGCCATACTGATGAGCTTGGCCGTGATGGGCCTGCTCCTTTGCCACCTCGCCACCACCGCCTCCGCCGCCAAGAAAGGCATCCATGTCCTCGGCAGCGTCGACGGCTCGAGCGACGACGGCGGCAGCCCCGAGTCCGGCGAAGGCCGCGTCGTCTATGCGGATATGAAGCTGGCTGATACAGAATCCAGCTCGTCCGATGCGCCGGCGCCGGCGCCCGCGCCGGGGCCGTCGTCCAGTTGAACAAAGCGACGGTGGTGGTGAAAACTGAGGGCACGTGTGGTCATCATAATTAAAGATTGGCAAAGCGTGGCCAAAAAGTTTTAAGCAATAAGTGTGATGAAGTTAGTCGAAATGATAAATGTATGATGTGTGTGCCAGGAGTTATGTGGCTTGCCTAGCCACATGTTATTCTACGCCTCCTATCTTTGTTGCACGTCTTATGTTATATACCTTTTTTTTCTTGTTATTATATATCTTGAGTTCTTGATGGATTCCGACTTTACCAAATTGTTTGTTCAACTTCATTATTCCATTAGTTTTAATGGAGAAGTGTACTTGTACGTGATGGTTTTGTATGCGCAAATGTAATGTCCAACATCCTTGTTTTCCACACATTTTTCCTTTTTTTTTAAAAAAAATCTACCTCAAAAGCGGCGGTTTGGAAAGCAGCCCAGCCGATGACGCTGTAGCCTATAGGAGAACAGTGGGGGCGTTGGTTGCTTTACCCATTTTCCGATTATGGCTGGATCTGGATCAGGGCACATGGTTCATGCGAATCAATGGATGCGTCAGGTTCTGGCCTTATCAGCTGCAGGTTCTTCGGGCTAATGTAGGAGTCCCGGCCATAGCGGATATCCAGACAAAAACGCAGATCCAGCAGGCCCTTACTAGAGGTCTTAATTTAGAGTCGGCACCCAAATCCACCCTAGAGACCCCATTAATGTGGGGAGAACAGGGCTCACCCCTCGGCCCTCATATCGTCAATTCCCCACCTACCTCGTACGGAACCACCCGAGCGAGCGTGAGCACGGCCGCCTGCATTCGCCACCTCACCTCCTGCGAGCTCCTCCCTCGGCTCAAGCGCCGCCCAGCCATGACTCACCGTCCTCCGGAGCTCCTACTTGCTCTCCGCCCGGATCTCCCTCACGACCGCGCTCCCGTGACCTGCCGGTGTCACCACTGCAGGCGGCCTCCTCCATCGGCATCTCGCTCCCTTCCTCCGGCGGTGCATCTCGCATGCTCCCTCCCTCCCTCTGACTCCTTGGATCACACGGGACTCGGTGGCGCAGGCCCGCGCGGCCACCGGCTCCACCCGCCCCACCGTGGGCTCTTTCCCCTCCCTCAGCCCGCCGCCTCTTTCCCCTCGCTCGGCTCACCGCCTCCAGATGGTGAAAGATTGAAGATGATAAGTTGGTCCCAATGGTGAGTGTCTGTTAAGAGAATTTGGGGGCTTCTTCTGGAGCAAATACAAAATAGAGGGCCAACAAATACAAAATAGAGGGCCAACAAAAATGGGGAGAATCTGGATGCTATCGCTGGAGTTGCTCTTATTAAATAAATTTCAGAATATATTTTTATATAAAAACTTATTTGAAAATACAAATATTGTTCATATTTTTTACAAATCTAATTAAACTTAATAAAGCTTGACCAGCATAAACACAATACTGACTTTTTTTTTTTGGGTGTGGGTGGGGGCGGGGGGGACGGAGTATCTCCGTTCTGAACTTCGTGACCATACTGGCATACTGCCATGCCCACACAGATGGCAGAGGCAGACCGCCAAATCAGCCCACGTACACGCAAATGGAACTACGGTTTCAGGCCTACAAATTTGACAGGACCAGTCCACATACACGCGCAAATCAGTGAAACAGCAAGAACAAACCAATCATCAGTTCATGCCGCCACAACGTCTGCGACGAAGCAGGCAAAACGATGAACAATGGACAACGAACCAGCCATTTATATATAAAAATAAAACAAGCGACGAGCATGTATCTATCAGTCCTTTGCTTCTTCCTACCAGGTTACCACCACATAACAACCCCACAAATGTCCTAAAATGAAGGAATTCACCTCTTCTAGCGGCGACCTTGGGGCAAACAACGGAGTATGGTTTGGATCAGATCAAACAGGTCAGCGACGGCCGGTGCACACGGGGACCTACTGCCTCATTTTCTTCGAGCTGCAGTCCGGGCACTTGTAGTGCTTTATGTGCTCCGCTTTGGCAGGGGTGATCCGCACACATTTGCCGTGGAACCACCGCTCACATATGTCGCAGCCGATCCAGAACTCGTTCGCGTTGTAAAGGCCGCCACAGCTTCCACAAAAGGTTTCCGTGTGTTCCTCGTCTTCCTCGTCATCGTCGTCGTCATACTCTTTGGCAGCAGGAGCTGCTGCCCTGGAATTCTTCGCATGGCCATCGTTTCCTCTCTGCAAGAGAAAGAAGCAACCCATTCTGAGTAAGATTTTGTACATAAACTGGAGCAAAACCAAACTATTGGAAAGATTAATGTGGCACCTTTGATGAGTGTCTGGACTTGCCACTGCTATCAACCCCAGACCTATCTCTGCCGTGTTTCCTGTCCGCGAATGCTTCAAAGACAGAAGGAAGATCACTGATCAAGCTGAATAAGCGCTTCCTGAGAGAAAAAAAAACAAATTATCTAATCAGAGGCTGCATCGATTCTGCCACAAATTAGAAAAAAACATTTCCTTTTCCAACCTTGATCTTTCATAGTATCTTATTGCTACAAACATAGACTCCAGCGCACAACATGGCTTCAAACAGAGTAATTGCCAGTTCAAATAGACGTGAATAAACATGTCTGCGAGCAGTTGGGTATGTACAGAGAGAAATAGTCCAAATGTCTAATTAGCTTTTCTGGGGAAAAAATAGTGCAGATTGATCCCTCCAAGTAGTTCAGATTACTACGAAAGTAAGAAAACAATACATAAGTGTTCACAAAGAAAAAGTTCAGAGTCATTAAGTTGTCAGAATAACACTATCTCGACATCATATCCAAATATCACTGAGACAATAAGCTGAGTATCAGAATACTGAGGCTAAAAAACGTGTCCCTCAAAAGATGAAGTGATGGGAAGCTTAGAATCTATATCCCAGTATCAAAAGACAGAACAGGACTACAGTAGAACAAATGATGACTTAACAACTAAGATCTACACCTTCCGAAAGTGTTCAAGTTAAGGGAATTTCATTTTATTTTCAGGTGCAGAGATGGAGAACTAAGGTCCCAAGAACAAAAGGCAAATTGGAAGTTTCAAAAAATCCCCTGAAACTGAAAATTATATGGGATCAACTGCATAAAGCAACATATAGAAAAGGAATGCAGAGGAATAATTATGCATAACATTCTCACTGTAATTCTCATAAAGGAAAACTTGTGATAGAAAGAACAACAAGTGCAAATCAGCAATCTAATCAATAGAGAAGGCTGTTGAAATACACAAACCTCAACCTCCACAAAGTATGCACTTAGGAGTAAATACTACTCCCTCCATCCCAAATTATAAGCCATTCCAACTTTTTTGGACAGTCAAAGCTTTTCAAGTTTGACCAAAATTATAGAGAGAATTACAAAGATTTATGACATCAAATAGGTATACTATGAAAATATAATTAACAAAAAATATAATGATATTTATTTGGTATCATAAATGTTATTATTTTATTATATAAATTTGGTCAAACTTGAGATGTTTTGACTCTCCAAGAAAATTGGAATGACTTATAATTTGGGATGGAGGGAGTACACAAGGGTCAGCATTTAAATTCTGAGGATATTAATATGAGAGGTGCAAGACGTATAATTCGATGAAAAAAACAACATTTTGCTCACACACTAAAAAAGTCAATAAATACTCAAGAAAAGCAAAGGAATTTAAACACTAGTCTATCAGGAAAAATAGAAAATTAAGAGAGAGAGAAGCATAAATAGATGTCACTAATATACTGCCCATGTTGGCCATGACTCTACACATCTCGCGTATAATACCGTTATGTATTTTCAATGATCAACATACCTGTAGATTAGGATGTTGGCACACAATTGTTTGGGCAACACTGACTGTAAAAATGAATACTATCTTAACTAAATAATGCATATAGTTTCCCACCTTCCCAATTAGCTACAATCATTTCTAGGCAAACATAGAGCAATTGCACTAGCAAGCAAGCTGCAACATTTTAGGACGTTCTGCAAGAGTTTAGAGTTGCAAGCAACAAAGATTAAAGGATTCGCTAAGATGTTCGAATGCATTTGGAAATGGATGGCCCAGCAATAAATGTACAAGAATACTTGCAGAGGGGTGCTTCTTTAAGCTCTGTTCTAAACCGTGGCATTGTTCTCCATAAAACAAAAATACGATTGATTTCAGAATTCTTAGAAGCAATGGAACATGCTGTTCTAGAGCAAGATAAAAGCACAAGATCCTCAACTGCTCCACACGATTTTCTGTAATAAATAAAGTGGAAAAGGGACCAATAGTTTAGCACCCCCATAATAAACAGATGGACCATGATCTCCGCAGTACTACTCCGAGATCGGAACTCTATGAAATGTGTCATTATGAAATATAAAGACTGATGATTCTGATTGCACCATGCACTCATGCAGCATAAACAGAAACAAAAAGAAAAGAAAACAGCGTGCAAAAGTACCGATAAAGCGAACTCATCCCCAAAGCATGACCCCCAATTCACTCAAAGGAAACAAAAAGAGGAGCACAATAAACATGTGCACATGCAAACACATGCACCAAGTGAAATAAAATAAATATACTTGTAGATCATAAACACGAACATCCCCAAAGTATCCCAGTCACCTAGCAATCAAACAACTAATTCACCAAAAAAAAAGGCAAACAATGTTTTTTTTTTTTTGAACGAAACTGGAGGGGTTTGCACCCCTACAGCATATATTAAAACAAAACAAGCGGTTCAGTTTACAGAAAGGCAAACAATGAAGTTAACGAAACCACAGATTAGAGGAGTGAATTTAAGAACAAGCATTCTACGCTCTCACGCAACAGCAGGCAACTGATTGAGAAGGCGAATCGAATCCAGCATTCGTAGCAGAATAGAATTGGTACCGGTCGTTGGCGTTGAGGCGAGCACCGTAGAAGAAAGCGACGGAGATGAGCCACGAGTCAGAGTGGACCGCGACGAGTGAGAGCCAGTCGCGGCGCTGCATGCCGTCGCGCGCAAAGTTGATGCCGAGCGCCGGCTCGGGCAACTCCGGAGGAACCTCGTCCGCCGGCGGCGACACCTCCCAGGTCCCGTTGGGAAGGCCGTAAAGACACAAATTCTCCTTATCTGCAAGCAGGAAAAGGAAACGCCGATCCGCTCATTTCCCGCCCGGATCCACCACTCGGCGCACGCACGCACCGCGCGAGAGCTCGCCGCGGATCGATCGATCTCACTCACCTGGGTCGCAGAAGCTGCAGAAATCGTCCACATCTGCACCGGCAACGACACGAGAGGCAAAGTGTTCGTTAGATCTGCGCGGGTCTCAGAGTGCAGCGGCCGGCGAGGCGGGCGGGGGGAGAGCGGTCGTTACCGGAGGTGAGGGCGCGGACGAGCCCCGCGCGGCGGCCGGAGAAGTCCTTGAAGATTTCCTCGACCGAGCGCGGGTTGGAGGAGACGGGCGCGGGGGCCATATCCATGCGACGCGACGGCGTCGGTGCGCGCCCGCGCCGGCGGCGGCGGCGTGCTCCGGGAGGGGCGGCGAGGGAGGGGCACAGCAGCAGCGGCGGCCGACGAGGCGATGGCGCACACACAGGAGTTGGGATTCGGGCATTCGGCTGCCTTCCTTGCTTCGTCGCTAATCTTTTATTACACACCCGAGCACCCGACCGAGGCAAAAGGTTCGTTTGTTTCGGTCACGCCTGACGGCCCGCGACGCGATGCGGCCTCGTGGGGCCCTGACACTGACACGGCGGGCCAGGAGCGTGAGATTCAGTGTGGACCCACGTGGAGGTGAGATCCATGGAGTGGGTGTAGGGGACAGATAGGTGTGGCCTATAGGGAAGACGGACCCGGATAGGCTGCTGACCTGGCACGATAGGGATGTGGTACGGGCCCGGGCCTCCCGATTTGCGATCGAGTCGCGGTTTCCAGATTTCCACTGCTTCGCTAGTTCGCTGATGGATACTGCTAGTACGTCACCGAGAGCATAATCGCAGCAGCGCAGAGACGTCGATAATCAGCAGGTCCGCCGAACGCAGAGACGTTTTATTTGATCCTAACATCAGCGGCAGCAATCAATCAAACTGTATAATTAATTTTTCAGAGCTTCAGGTGAACGAACAGACGAAAAATTTTTTACGCACGTATGTATTCAATTCTAAACGCAGTGGAACAGTCAGCACGTGTTCAGTTCCATGGCAGTCAGGTTCCCATCAGTAGCCGCACCGACGCTATACCAACTTTCACAGCAGACTACCAGTTTCTAAAAAAAACACCAACTTGTTTAGCAAGTTTTACCAGTTTCGTTATATCAAAAAACATTAAATGTAGGTAAAAAAATTTAATTGCACGATTTGGTTGTAAATCACGAGACTAACTAGTTAGTCCATGATCGGACAAACCAAAGAGAATTTCCAGAACGGCAGAATCAGAGACCATCCAGAACGGCAGAATCATACCATAGCAAGGAATGGCCACAGCTGCTAGGTTCATCACAGATCACACACTGACTAGCAGTTTCGGATATAGAATTCAAATTCAGATGCTTCTCAAAAATGGCAAAATAATGAGGTTCATCTCAACATGAGGTCTGGTATGAGAGACCTACAGGTGCACAGTGCGCCATAGGCATAGGCCCAAAACTCCATTCGGTGAAGCATTACGGCAGGATTTTTCAGAAACTGCGGCATGATGATGAGGGGAATAGGGTTTTAAGATCTTGGCTTCTCCTTCTTCTCCTTGAGGGCCCGTTCGTTTTGAGCGGAACGAAGTGCCGAAACCGATCCCAACCGAAAGACAGCTGTATTTTATACCGGTCAGCTATCACCGGGAAGCGTGAAGCGTTCTGGCCGGAAATTGACGTAAACGAACGGGCCCTGAAGAGGGCGAGCAGGGAAACGCCAGAGACCTTCACGACCTTGAAACGGACACCGGGAATATCTCCCACAGCGTGGCCCTTACGACCGAACCCCGCAATCAGCACCTCATCGGCAGGTACTCCTCGGTGGGCACGCGCGCTTGTGGGCGGCGAGGAGCACCGCCGCGTACTGCTCAGGCACTCCGTACCTCAGGGCGTCGAGGGAAGCTTGGGATTGGAAGCATGACGCGAAGCGCTCTACTGCTGTCACTGATGAGCTCGAGAGAGCGCCGTCGCCGCCATCGTCGTCCGAGTCAGAGTCGCCTTCCTCGATGACGTTAGGGTCGTCATCGGAGGCATTGCGCGGATGAGATCGGTTGGTGTGTTGGTGAGAAACTGAGAACGACATGCACAAGCAATGTTTAGCCTGTTCACAATCGGTGCTCTTCCTCAAGTTAAAAATTAACTAGATTCTTGCTTACCACGTACGATCCTTGTTACTCGAAACAATACATGTTTTATTCAACAGATCCTTGTTTTGGATCTAAAATTCTTTTTGTTTAGCCTGTTCACAATCGGTGCTCTTCCTCAAGTTAAAAATTAACTAGATTCTTGCTTACCACGTACGATCCTTGTTACTCGAAACAATACATGTTTTATTCAACAGATCCTTGTTTTGGATCTAAAATTCTTTTTGTTTAGCCTGTTCACAATCGGTGCTCTTCCTCAAGTTAAAAATTAACTAGATTCTTGCTTACCACGTACGATCCTTGTTACTCGAAATAATACATGTTTTATTCAATAGATCCTTGTTTTGGATCTAAAATTCTCGGGAGGGCATGCTCATGACTTAATAAGCAGCCATATAAATCCGAACAGAGGAATTTAATTAGACATTACGAGATCGAATTCGATTGTAAACACCCGAATTCGGTTGACAAAAAGTGACCCAGGCCATGTTCGGTATTCGAGCTCAAGACATCGAATTGAGCTGAGATGAATCGTATTAAATTATGGAAAACCGAATTCGCTTCCTGGACTTATCCAGCTGAATCTGGTCAAAATAACGAAATTAGATTTTGTGAGATCTAATTTGATTATTTAAACGTGAATTCAGTTGACAAGAGTGAGCCAGGCCAATAAGTCGAATAACATTAAGCTCAATCGAATTCAAGTATAAAAAATCAAATTCGGTTCGTCCTTATCCCGCTGAATCCATCAACAAAATGTAATTAGTGAAAGAACAACCACGACCGCGAAAGGGCGAGGCGTCCGCGGCTCCGCGCAGCTTGGGGCGCAGGAGGCGACGGTGCGGCATGGCCACCACCACGACGACAACGGCGACGGGGAAGACGATGAAGGCACGTTGCACCGCCGGCGGTGGCGGCGACAAGCAAAGGGGCATCAGCCGAGTGACCACGGCCGCAAAAGGGCGAGGCATCCGTGGCTCCGCGCAGCTGGGGGCGCAGGAGGCGACGGTGCGGTGGCGCGACAGGCCACCACCGCAACGGCAACGGCCACGGGGAAGACGGTGAAGGCTTCCCCTCCGACGTCCACGCCCCGCCACCTTCTCTCCGATAAAGCGTCGCGTCCTTCCCCTCTCCTAGCTCTCTAGGGTTCATGGTTCTTGGACTGGGGGCTAGGTTATTCAAAGATTGGGTTCAGTGGCAACAAGATCCGGCTTCTGGATACGCCACCACCGCTGCCGCCACCGCCTCGTTCCACCGCCTCGCCCGCGCCGCCCTCACCGCCGGCCGCCCTGCCTTTGCTCCCGCCCCAACCTCCTTTCTGACCCAAAAACAGCAAACCTAAAGGTTTTTTTTAGCAGAAACCTAACGGCCTTTCGGCCTCGCTTCGAACTCCACCCCTTCCCAGGCCGGCCTAGTCGGCCCATTCAACTTTTCCACCTCGTCGGCACCCTTCCGGCCACCTCGTCTCCTCAAAAAAAAAAAAAAAAAAAAACCTCGTCTCCTCACGGCCACGACATTCGGGCATTCGGCGAACGCTGCCTGGCACGCTGCAGACCCTAGGCGGCGGCCGGCGGCGCTCGTCGCGCGCGGCCAGCACAAGCCGCGGCTAAGCGGCATCGAGCACAGAGGGCGCGCGGCGGCGTGGGGCTAACCCTAGGCGGCGGCGGCCGGCGAGCACAGGGGCGGCGGGGAGCGCAGTGGGAGGCGCCGTGGCGGCGGCCAGGCCAGCCGGTAGCCGGCTAACTATGACTCAAGGCTCAGGTCTCCATTCTCACTCTCCAAAATCGTTGAAATGCCTTTCTGAATGTATATCTCTACAATGTGAATCTTTAAATGACACTCATGTCTCATCCAATGGCAATCTGATGTAGTAGCGTGCCATCAATAAGATAAAGTAAAATTCTATGTAAATTAGAATTGAAACTAACAGAGCATTGAGGTGTTTCATTCATGGCAACTTGGCAAGGATGCTGAATTGCTGATGACGATTTGGTTTTTGCATTCTTAACAAACTATAATTGTTGTTACACTAAAACAAACTAATCATGCCCTTTTTAGCTCAAACCCTGGGAGGGCCTTATTTCAAGATGTCCGACGACAATGTAACTACAAGTGTAAGCATATATGTACTTTGGTACTTTGTATCTGTATGTAAGATATACTGATCCTTTTCATGCCCCTACAGATTAAGTTCGAGTTAAAATCCAATATTGAAAATGTACTGTCCAAACTGAACTCTGACTTGCATCGAATGATTAATGTGGAACCTGGGACCGAAAGTCAAGATGTGAATATCGATGACAATGCAAGTGCAAATGTAAGCATACGTATACTTGGGTACTTTGTATGTGTATAAGATATACTGATCGTTTCCATGTCCCTTGCCATGCCCCTACAGACTGAATGTGTACTGTCCAGACTTCAATCTAAGTTGCATGAAGTGATTCTTGTGGAACCAAGAACATATATAAGAAAGAAAGATAAATTATACAAAGAGCGTGTTATGTCGAAGATAGGCAATGCAGATACGAAAAAGGTTGTAATGAACCTAGGTGGTCACTATTTACATGATCACATGTTCGTGGAATGCTTCAAACCAGATGGCTGGATGTCCAACTTTGTAGTCAGTTGCCTCACAAATTTGTGGAATAAAGAATGGGGTGATAAAACCATCATTTCTCAACAGGCTGTGGTAAGTACCATTAGAGTGCTTAGCATTTTTCCATGTTATGTTTAGTTTATCCAATATTACCATCTGTTCTGTTTTATTGTTGCAAGAGTTGCTAGGTGATAAAGGTGATAAATTGGCAGAAGAGCTTAACGAAGAGGTGTTAGGTCGCACCAAACTGGTTTGTGCCTACCTCCTATCCTTCAATTTTGTAACCTTACATTTGGCCCTTGGAATAAACAAGTTTTTTTTCCCAGATATTTATTCCTATTCAGGCTGGTGACCATTGGAACTTGGCTGTGCTTGACCTTATTGAAAAAAAAAACGTGTGATTGATTCCATGGAAACTCAAACCTCACTAGCTACAGCAAGCCGCGTGGTACGTACTCTAAGCTTGAAGTATTTATCCATCAAAGTATAATAGCAATTCGACCATAGTAGGTAAATATGAATATAACCAATAGGGTAAGTAGAGTATTCGAAAGGGTAAATGCAGTGCCTTTTGTATTAGCTTGACTTGATTCATTGCAGTTATCAAAAATTGAAGAGTACTTGAAGCAATTTGCAATATCTGGATTCAAACCATTGAATCTGAAAGTAAGGCAGCAAAGGAACGGGTAATATTTCAGATTTTCTTGAAAATAATCTTACCTTGTCATTGTTGGTTTCATCATTCTTCAATTTCTGCTTACATTATTGAATCATGTTGCAGTAATGACTGTGGTTTTCACACGATGCTGTTCATTAAACAACTGCATAGTCTGGACCTCCCTCTGGAATTTGATGAGGTGCTATGCCTTGAGAAAATGTAATCGTTTTGTTTCTTTTTGCAAATGACATAACCTGTGCTATTATAATGCAGCAAAGGATACTGAAGTTCCGGCAAGAATTGGTGTCATATATCCTTCAACATCCTGAGAATCGAGAGTTCACTGAGGACAGCAGTACAACACCTAATCTGAGTCTTGGTGACGATGAAGGGTTTGTCAGTCCAAATTAGAGTCAACCTCTTAGGAAAGCAGGTGGTTCATCTGCATCTCTTGCAAAAGAGGAGAAGGTGGTGAGGGGCAGAAAAAGGACGAAATAAACAATGGTGGTAATTTGTTGGTGTTTTGATTGTCCAACACACTCATGATACTAAGTTGTCGGTTTGTCTTTATCGAATTCTATATGATTTCATCGAATTTGCTATCTTGGCTCGGATCCGTGTTCGTGTTTTCTAAAGCGAATTCGAAATGATTATATCGAAGTGTTTTTATATATAGAAGAAGTTTTACCCTGTCACACTTTTACCCTGTTTACCATTTCATTTACCCTATTACTCTTTTACCCTGTCACACTTGCCAATTTGTAGAATAAATGTTGGAAGAGGAAGCTGCTGAAGATGCTTGGCAAATAATTTTTCGCAAAAGGATGACGTCTTTGCATAGGCTAAGATTGACAGGTCCCCGGCGCCTCTGGCCGGCCCCCCGTCCAGCCCCCCGCCCGATGCCCTGCTAGCCCTCCGCTTGACGCCCAATCACAGTACTAGGTGTTCTCTGGGCTGCTACTTTTGCTTTGTTTGTAGGGGGTGACACTGAATTACTGATCCCATGTGTAATTACTCTGAAATTTGTGAACTGATGACCTGCGATCTGCAGTTAAAAACTTATCATTTATCAAGTATTCATGGTGGACCACCCTAAACCTTTGTACTAACCGCGAGTTGCTTGCCCACCAGTCGACCTTCAAATCATTTTTGAATACCTAGTACTTTCTTTTTGAGAAATGAATACCTTTCATCCATCATCCATACATAACGAATTGGTATGGTATATTCATACCATAACACAAGAACAATGGGTCAGACTCAATAGAATTGGATCCAAGTTTTGACATCATCCATACATGAACAGATTAGAGTACTCAACATCCAATATGGAACAACCTAAGAAAACGGCATGATCTTCAACAACCTCCCAACACTTCCTTCACAAAATTGGAGTACTGAAGAATCAACACCACCCTAAGAAAACATCAAGATCTAATAGATAAAGCACGAGCAAAGAAGATGACCGCATCAGAGATCACATCTCTCCAGTAAAACATGTTCTTCACTATTGGTTATGCCTTCAATTTCGTCACTTGAAGGAAGAGCCAATACATAAAACCAAGAGATTTTCAAGGAATCCAATATAGATATCCTCTGCTTCTGAAGCTCTAGCACAGCCAAAGACCAATGGCGGCCATCAAGGATTGGAACAAAACAAACCAGGTCCTTGTGGGCTAGTGTAGCTCTTGGAATTTCCCTTGCGAGAAAACCTGTTCTGTTATCCTTTCCCAACAATTCATGCTAGACAAAAAATATGGTAAAAATGGAGCATGAGAAAGCATAGTGGTACGTATTCCAGATATAGAAAAGTATGACAAAGCATAAGATATGGAACTTACAACAGCACCCTGTGAAAGCATGACCTTGTCTTTGTCCTTCCAGTCCTTGTTCCACAGATATGCAAGGGCATCTACAATAAAGTTTGATAGCTCGCCAGTTGGTTTGAGGGATTCTACAAATTTAAACTCACATAATTTGTGTCCTGATATGTCCATTGCAGGAGTGATCTTCATGTTTTCAATGACCTCTTTGTCCTTGTCTTCCATAACAATCGTATCATCAGTAAACCGGGCTTTAGATTCGATATGTTCAGCATAAAACTTATTTGTCTCTCGAACTTTTTCCTCAAGAGACATTGCTTGCGTCACTACCGATGACTGGTAGGCCCTGATCTCATCGAACTTCTTCTTCACAAAGGATTGATAACCCTTCACTAAAGCATTCATCTCATCTTGGACTTCCGGCACCTTATCCATAGATGCCTGTAGCAAATGGTCCACTGATGGAAGTAGCATGCCCTTGTCCTTACACATGTCCTGTTCCGACTCCTGAAAGAAAAGGGAACAATGAAAAATGACTGACAACACTACTTTTTAATGGATTTATATTGATTTATATTACACTAATCTGAAGCATGGGGATTCGTCCTTACCCAGCGTTTGGCACCATCACGCTTCTTGTCCTGCTTCTTGCCCTTCTTATCCTCCTTGCCCTTCTTGTCCTTGGAAACCAGAAAAGCCACCAACGTAAAGATAATAATTTACATTATTCTGATTCCAGTACAAGCATATTGACTGGTTACTTACAGTTGGAACATATACGAACTTGTCTACATCCTTGCCTTCTGCAGCAGGTTCACAATTTTTTCTTTGGTGTAGTACTTGATTCTTGGAGTCTCCTTTGGTTCTTCAGCCGGGATTAAAGTATCCAGGTAGCATATCTAAAGAGCACAGTCTGTTAAACATAAAATTAATTGTTCGTAGAAGAAATTCTTTTAAAGAACTTACAGCTAAGACAAATGTGCAGCCCCAAGCGATACTTTCCGACTTTAGACCCACTTTCTTCTTCCTCTCTCTCCTTTTGATGACACCTTCCTTCAGGTGTTTGCAAATGACCTTGGACCAATTGATAGTGCCTATCTTTTCAAGGTCACCACATAAAATGTTTTTCCCAGTAAGGTTAGAGTCAGAAGATGGCATCAGCAAACGGTTGAACAAAATGTAGAAGAAAACTTGGGCTTCCTTCTCACTGCCCTTGTTGTTATCCTTGATCCACTGCATGTACTGCTTGAGTGCCTCAAGACTGATCTGTTTTTTTACCTTAGTCTGAAACTCATTGAGCCTTTTATTAAATTTTCGGGTCACATAGTCCACTTTTATTCCAGCTGCTTCGAACTCATCAAACATGGCTTTGAGCACACCACTCTTGTCACCAGAAACTGAGTCAGCCAAGTTGTCATTAAAAGGTGTACCAAGGACATTGTTAACAGCCTCTGGGTTGACCAGTACATACTTTTCAGGGCTAATCCTTATGAAAAATGAATATTCATCAGTCAAGATCCCCTCATCATCAGGCAAGCTCCCTCATCATATCGATCCATTAACCACATGAGGAGCTCCCTGGTTTCAAGTTTTTCCAACGTGTATTCCAACATTGCATCAAACCCTACTCGCCTGACATGTGACTCAGCATCCTTTGACAATGTTTTAGCAACATCACTGACAGTCTTAAGAGAGGACCGCGAAAGTGCACTTTTATGCTTTGCACCATCCTACAGAAAATTCAATTTCGTTATCATTTTGCCAGAGTCATGGGAAGCATAAAGTATAAAATAAAACTGAGGTTAACGACTGTGATTGATTGCCACATTCACATTGCTGATATTTAGTCACAAACTAACATTTCTACTATATCGATGCACAACCCAATACTCGATAGGAATTATATATTGCATAAGAAACTTTCTGGAAGCCGTAAACTTATCCTCCCCACGCCAATTGTTTGTACTTGCAGTGCACAGTTAGTTGCACTACATTGCTGATATTTAGTCACAAACTAACATTTCTACTATATCGATGCACAACCCAATACTCGATAGGAATTATATATTGCATAAGAAACTTTCTGGAAGCCGTAAACTTATCCTCCCCACGCCAATTGTTTGTACTTGCAGTGCACAGTTAGTTGCACTACTGGCCTCTCACTCTCTCCTCTCTGAGCTCTGATTACCACGGTAATAAACTAAGCATCGTGCTCCTAGAACAGGAGTTTATTATTGGGAGTATCCTCCTAATCTTCTCGCTAACAGCCGTCAAAGCATCTATCTGGTCCTGGCAGTAAACCAGGCGTATGAAATACCAATACTAATATTCCTATGTGAATGATGCTTGGAATCGCAGAGAGCATGTGTCCAAGCACAAAGCTGCTTTCTCGGCGGTCGGCGACGCAGCAATGATGCTCGGCCTAAAGGGGCGTGGAGGCTGGAGGAAAAGAATGACCAGAGCAGCATGATAAGAAGGATAGCGAGCCCTGCACTGCAGGCTGCAGACGCCAAAAGGAGCCCTGCACTGCACTGCAGATGGCTCACTAATGGTGCCTGATCTTGGATTAGTAGCCAGGATGGTCAACATCTGCTCATCTTGACCATTCTGCTAGTACTACGAGTAATACTTTTCAGTTTCCTGACCTGCATTTGACATCGGCTACCCTGGCACTAGCACTGCTCAAAAATGGATATTTTCGGACCAGCAAGGCAGCAACAGTGAGCAATGCCGGGGCAGAGACAACTGAATACGTATACAATCAGAGGCTGTACGTTGGCGCGGCAAGGCCACGCCTGCCTTTCTAGTTTCCCTATAACCCACCCCACATAGCAGTTGGATGATAAAAACCCTAGAGTGTTGCTGAAAATAGAACCCTAATGTTATTGATGCCAAAATTCAAGTTGGATGATAAAACCATAGCTCATTGAAGCTAAAACTCAGTGTCAGTGCTGCAGATAATAAACCCTACTTTTATTGATTGATGCTAAAATTCAGTATTGCCGGACAGTACTTAATCTAGCCCCTCAAACAAACGTGCCAAATGATATCCAGATCCCTATTTACGTAACCCTCCCCACATATCAGTTGGATGCCAAAAACCCTAGTTTTGTTGATGCTAAAACTCCGTGTTGCAGATAAAACACTCAATGTTGCCGGACGGTACTAACCTCCGCGATGTCGGTGGAAGCGATGTTGGTGGCTCCTTCACTGTGAGATTCATCCTCGGTGTCGGTGGCTCCTTCACTGAGAGATTCATCCTCGGTGTCGTCCTCATCAGAGCGGTCGCGGGCGGCTGGCCTCTTCTTCCTGTCCTCGTCCTCATCAGACCTGTCGGGGGCGGCGCGCTTCTTCTCCCTGCCCATCGGAGACAAAATTCAATCGTCGGCGGAGGGGAGGAGAACAGTGGTTAGCCTTACGGCTTAAATTCACTTCACAGTGGGAAACCTTGGTGAATTTTAAAACGCGTTTTATCAACACGGTTTTATCACCACGATGATAAAGCGAGTTTTATTATCCGTTGATCAGACGATGATTACGGGTTTTATTGGATCACCGCGGGGTCATCTGCTCAACCGGATAATAAAACACGTTTTATCTTATCACCCAGGGAGTGATAATAAAACCCGTAGTCATCATCTGCTCAACGGGATAATAAAACTAGTTTTATCAACATGATTTTATCACACCACACGGCGGGATAAAACACATCAACAATGTTTTATCTTCGCGCCTTGAGATAATAAAACCCGTAGTGATGCTCAACATGATAATAAAACTTGTTTTATCAATGAGGTTTTATCACCCAGGGAGCGATAATAAAACCCGTAGTCATCATCTGCTCAATAGGATAATAAAACTGGTTTTATCAACATGATTTTATCACCACACGGCGGGATAATAAAACCCGTAGTGATCATCTACTCAACCGGATAACAAAACACGTTTTATCAACAAGGTTCTATCTGCTGGCGGTGACATAATAAAACCCGTCGTCATCCTCAACGGGATAATAAAAGTCGTAGTCATCAGATGCTCAACGGGATAATAAAACTCGTTTTATCAACACGATTTTATCACCACACGGCGAGATAATAAAACCCGTTTTATCAACAAGGTTTTATCTTCGCGCCTTGAGATAATAAAACCCGTAGAACCCGATAATAAAACACGTTTTATCAACAAGATTTTATCACCACACGGCAGGATAATAAAACCCGTAGTCATCATCTGCTCAACGGGATAATAAAACTAGTTTTATCAACACGATTTTATCACACCTCACGGCGGGATAAAACACATCAACAATGTTTTATCTTCGCGCCTTGAGATAATAAAACCCGTAGTGATGCTCAACATGATAATAAAACTTGTTTTATCAATGAGGTTTTATCACCCTAGGGAGCGATAATAAAACCCGTAGTCATCATCTGCTCAACGGGATAATAAAACTGGTTTTATCAACATGATTTTATATCACCGTAGTGATCACGCTCGGCGGATAATAAAACGTTTTATCCAAGGTTCTATCTGCCGACGATGACATAATAAAGTGTCGTCATCTATGCTCAACCGGATAAACTCGTTTTATCAACACGATTTTTATCAACAAGGATAATTCCGTAGTCATCATCCGCTCAACGGGATAATAAAACGGTGGATAATAAAACCCGTTTTATCAATAAGGGTTTCATCTCGCTTTGAGATAATAAAACCCATAGAACGGATAATAAAACTCGATAAGGTTTTATCAAACAGGATAATAAAACCCGTAGTTATCATTTGCTCAACGGGATAATAAAACTAGTTTTATCAACACGATTTTATCACCACACGGTGGGATAAAACCATTTATTATCCCGTTGACGAGATGATGATTACGGGTTTTATTATCACACCGCGGGGTCATAAAACCTAGCTGATAAAACTTGTTTTATCAACACGATTTTATCACCACACGGTGGGATAATAAAACCTGTTTTATCAATAAGGTTTTATCTTCGCGCCTTGAGATAATAAAACCCGTAGAACAGGATAATAAAACTCGTTTTATCAACCAGGTTTTATCACCACACGGCAGGATAATAAAACCCGTAGTTATCATCTGCTCAACGCGATAATAAAACTAGTTTTATCGACACGATTTTATCACCACACGGCGGGATAAAACCACGATGATAAAGCGAGTTTTATTATCCCGTTGACCAGATGATGATTACGGGTTTTATTATCCCACCGCGGGGTCATAAAACCTAGCTGATAAAACGAGTTTTATTATCATGTTGAGCAGATGATAGTTTACGGATTCATGTTGGCGGGATGATAAAACGAGTTTTATTATCATGTTGGCGGGATCATAAAACCCGTAGTTATCATCTGCTAAACCGGATAATAAAACACGTTTTATCAACAAGGTTTTATCTTCGCGCCTTGAGATAATAAAACTCGTAGACATCATAGTAAAACTCGTTTTATCAACAAGTTTTTATCACCCCAGGAGCGATAATAAAACCCGTAGTCATCATCTGCTCAACGGGATAATAAAACTAATTTTATCAACACGATTTTATGCACGGCCACATCAACAATGTTTTATCTTCGCGCCTTGAGATAATAAAACCCGTAGTGATGCTCAACATGATAATAAAACTCGTTTTATCAATGAGGTTTTATCACCCCAGGGAGCGATAATAAAACCCGTAGTCATCATCTGCACAATGGGATAATAAAACTGGTTTTATCAACATGATTTTATCACCACACGGCGGGATAATAAAACCCGTAGTGATCATCTGCTCAACCGGATAATAAAACACGTTTTATCAACAAGGTTCTATCTGCCGGCGGTGACATAATAAAACCCGTCGTCATCATCTCCTCAACGGGATAATAAAACTCGTTTTATCAACACGATTTTATCACCACACGGCGGGATATTAAAAGCTGTAGTCATCTGCTCAACGGGATAATAAAACTCGTTTTATCAACACGATTTTATCACCACACGGCGGGATAATAAAACCCGTAGTGATCATCTGCTCAACCGGATAATAAAACTCGTTTTATCAACAAGGTTCTATCTGCCGGCGGTGACATAATAAAACCCGTCGTCATTATCTGCTCAACGGGATAATAAAACTAGTTTTATCAATACGATTTTATCACCACACGGAGGGATAATAAAACTCGTTTTATCAATGAGATTTTATCACCCCAGGCAGCGATAATAAAACCCGTAGTCATCATCTGCTCAACGGGATAATAAAACTAATTTTATCAACACGATTTTATGCACGGCGGGATAAAACACATCAACAAAACTTTCGCATCGTCATCAGTGATGCTCAACATGATAATAAAACTTGTTTTATCAATGAGGTTTTATCACCCGTGGGCGATAATAAAACCCGTAGGACGCTCAGCGGGATAATAAAAGCGTTTTATCAACATGATTTTATCACCACACGGCGGGATAATAAAACCCGTAGTGATCATCTGCTCAACCGGATAATAAAACACGTTTTATCAACATGGTTCTATCTGCCGGCGGTGACATAATAAAACCCGTCGTCATCATCTGCTCAACGGGATAATAAAACTCGTTTTATCAACACGATTTTATCACCACACGGCGGGATAATAAAAGCCGTAGTCATCATCTGCTCAACGGGATAATAAAACTCATTTTATCAACACGATTTTATCGCCACACGACGGGATAATAAAACCCGTAGTGATCAGAGCTCAACCGGATAATAAAACTCGTTTTATCAACACGTTTTATCAACAAGGTTCTATCTGCCGGCGGTGACATAATAAAACCCGTCGTCATCATCTGCTCAACGGGATAATAAAACTCGTTTTATCAACAAGTGTTCACCGGACGCACTGGTCGTATGCACCGGATGCTTCCGGTGGTTAGCCAATGACTAGTTCAGATTCAAAACAGCGTATCACCGGACGCACCGGTGCCTACCCACCGGACGCGTCCGGTGGCTTCCAGACCTCTCTGGAACCTCTCTATAAGTCCACCGGATGCAGTAGTGCATCCGGTCCACATCCACCGGACGCGTCCGGTGCGGCGTGGAGCTTACTGGACATCGACCGGACGCTGCCCAAAACAGTGGTGTGCGCCCCGGTGGTCGTCGACTGTAGCCGAGTACACCGGACGCACCAGTGCCTCAGAGGGGGTGCGTCCGGTGGCTAACCTAAAGATCTGAGACGCACGCAGCGCGTCGGTGCCGATTGCACCAGCGTCCGGTGCACACAAAACCCCTCTAACAACTCCGAATTGAATTTCGTCGAATACGGAAGTTGTTCCAACTGATCTTAGGGCCAACCTAGAGCTACTTAGGGCTATGTTAGACAAGTGTGCACCACACCTAAAACATTAGACTCACCTAAGTCAAGCTACCCATTCAAGCCCCCCTTTATAGTACGGTCAAAGGTAAAAACAAGAACCTAGACTACTCTAAGTGTCTCCCAACTCCATTGACACTTAGACCTAGTTCATTCTAAGTCTTGTCTCCATCCTTTGAAAATCGAAACGATAACTAAGGGGCTTGAAATCCATTGGTTGCCCATTTCATCATCATTATCATGACCTAACTCAATTTGCATCTGCAAAACACACGTTAGTCATAATAATCTTGCATTGTCGTTAATCACCGAAACTCATGGGGCCTAGATGCTTTCAATCTCCCCCTTTTTGGTGATTGACGACAATACGATCTCGAGTATGTATAAGAAGATGGTTTGGTGAGATTTTCAATGACTTGGTTCATATAAGCATGGGTTAGTGAATATGAATGAATTAACATGCTTATACCGACCATGCCAACACATGTACTCAATAGATATGAAATTAAGCATGAGTACAATAGGTTATGCTCAACAAGATATATCAAGGCTAAGTGCGGAAGCATAACAAGCAACACATGAGCATAACCAAGTGACATATCATATTATATAAGCGTAAAAGCATCATGTCTCAAAAGAAGTCATCACACATATATCACAATGCATAAAAGCGATAAACATGATGCATGATGAAAGAGTATATAACACACAAAAGATCCAACCCTCTCACAAGCTCCCCCTAAATCTAGCATACTCGACCCTCTCCCCCTTTGGCGACAAGCACCAAAAAAAACTAAGGGTCCGACGGTGGGGCTAGAGCAGTCGAGTCACGCGGGCAAAGCTCAAACTGGGTAAAATCGGGGTTGGAGCTAGAGCTGCCACCTGCTAGACCCTCTAAAGCTGCGCGAGAAGATGAAGCGGTCTAGGTCGGCTCGGCTGGCGCTGACTCTGTAGCTGGAGCTAGAACGGCCGGCTGGGCCTCTGACTCTAGAACTGCTCTTGTGGC